CATATGATCAAATCTAAAGGAAATTAACAGAGTGTCAAACTATTATTGACAGGAGGTCTTTCAACAATACCACAATTTTTTCTATGATATATTGAAGCTTGCCGGGGTCAGGTTCCAACAGGTACAAGATATTGACCATCAAAACTGTCCTCCCTAGAGATTAGTAAAATCAATCTGGTTATAGAGGGTCCATCAAGAATAGAACCTTTGTCTGACCAGTTAATAGACTGATTGAATATCAATAAGCAAGTAGCCTAAATCTCTATTTCATATTTCTCTGTTGACTCACAGACATAGTGTTGATTGTCCACTCCACTGGAATTGCTGACCAGCCCATATCATAATGGTGCTGGCTTTGCCTCAGTGACCATGGGCCATTGCTTCATTTGCTCCAGTGAATATATTCCATCAAGTTCTATCAATAAATATACACCTGTGCATTTCATTATTCATGCTGCTGTATATTGTATTTGTTGTCAGTACCTGGACAGCATTCCACAACAGGTATTAGAATCATTTCAATTCTAAATTTTTTAATATGGTATGGTATTACTCGCATAATGAAATATTTCATCAAACGTTCTAGCTTCATGCTAGAAATTATGTCTGTATAACGGCTATCTATATATACACTCCATGAAATATTTGCAACAACAGACTTAAAGTTTGACTTCACATTAAATTTTTACAATCCATAGAACATTCATAAAACAAGTAAAAAACTAAACTAAAGATGATCGCTTGAGTGATGAAGGTTATAATGTTATCCTATACTGATCTATAATGTTAGGTAATACATGTCAGCGTCACTTGTTGAGCAACTCTGTCACAAACATCCATGACACGCATTTTAAGGAGCATTTTGTGTTTTAAATTGCTAGTATTAAAAGCAGGTATGCATTTTCTTTGTAAAGAAAAGAGACAACTCCCTGCTGATATATACATGTACCTGATACATATTTCAACATAAACTGATGTAGACAAATGATAACTTAACAAGACCTGCCCTGAGCTACGTGATATTCAGTACATAAAGTCTTTATAATATTTCTAGACTCCTCATACACATCTTCACATTGATAAGAATTAAAGCAAAATAGTTATGAAGTATACACATTGCCTAATTTCCTATTATCATCTAAAGTCATTTATGGACAGCCTCATTTGGAGTACAATGTAAAAATGAGCTCTCTCTGATTTTCAAACTCTTACACACAAGGGTAATCTTTTATCTTAAAAGGAAAATTCTGTTCAATTAAGAAGCTTTTAACCAGAGAGGGAAAAATATGCTTATTTGCATCATTAAACAATTTAAATGTTATTAACAAAACCATGATTCAAACGAGAAACTTCTGATATTAATCTAGAATGTTGAGGACTCTTGCCTTCATCAGAACCAAATGCTAAAACATTGGTCAAAAAAATATTTTTTTCAAGAACTTTTTGTTTACAAATACAATGTAGGTTCAACATATTCCACTGAGAACATTTACCAGCAAAATGTAAAAGAATATATATCACTGCATAACACAAAGTGCACCTGATGTCCTAAAATCATTCAAAGTGTTCAATATGTTTGAACGTGCAAGAGTAATTCACTATAAAAGGCCTGTTCATACCATTTCTATGTTACATGAGAGAGAAAATATGTGATGTATACCACAACATATGTACCTTCTCTTTATACCTAGATCTCAGTTTTCTATAATATTCGGCATCTCCTACTATTAAGGGTTCAGGAAACAGGAGAAACACACCCATTATTTCATCTAAATGACATAAAGTATCTGTGAATTTTATAGATTTTTTTCTGGTGAGTCAAGTCCACTTCAAAGGAGTTTTAGTGGGTTCTCAACATTTTAGCAAGTCCCATTGGGAAAAGCAGGAGTCCACAACTCATATATTTGAGTCCCGAAATCTCTGAGTATCAAAGATTAATTCTATAGCACTCTGAAGTCTGAACTCATTCAGTAAATCTTATTATGGTAGTATTTGTATGTAACATGCTGAGGGAATCAAACTTTTATGAAACATTTATAAAGTACAAGTATGATACCATCATAATAACACAGTCACCTTATGTTTACCAGGTTATTAATAATAGGTCCATTCACTGTTGTGATTTTTATCATGACTTGATACTGAGGCACTAATGCATTATTCTATCTACTAGAGAAGATTTTACATTACATGTAGGTACAGTATACAGCAATGTTTGTGTTTCCTTTAACAAGGAGAATAGTGTGTTTGTTGACTGAGAGAGATGACAGGCTAGAGGAAGGAGGATAAACTAAGTATATAAACTGTGTCTCCACTAATCTTTGGAATGTTGACATCACAAGCAGTAAGGTTTGCTACAAGTCTACATGTCAGGCTCTCTCTAAATCACTGATATCTGGTATCAACAATGATTCAGGTTGGAGGGGTGACTTCAACATATGTCAGGACTCAAAGACCCAAAAAGGACCTGGTGAAGTAGGCATGTATCTAGACAGACAGAAAATGTGAAAAAAGACAATCTGTAAGAAAATATTGTCATGCAGCACTGCTTACCTAGTTCAGGGTTTAGAAGAACTGATAATGAATAGTACGCAAATTGGTCTGAAATCTGCAATTTATATATGACTGACAATTTTTGGCAAGATATCAAAATTTGAATTCAAATTTTGGACAAATAATGTTGATAGGTTAAGGCCAGAGGCCTAGGTCATTTGTCTATAAATAGCTGTCTAAGAGTCTCTCATAAACTTAATTAAACACTTATTGTCCTTTATCACATGGTTGTGCTATTATAACTAGGCAAATGCTGATGTTAGAATAAAAATATTAATGTTACATCATTAAATTTGATCAAAAAAAAGTGGAAATAAGTAAATGCAACACTGCGTTCAAATAAACTGAACTGAATGCTTCAAGCCAGGAGTGAATGGTTTCTAATATACGTCCCTGTTCAAACTGACAATTAACAACATGTATTAATTTCTTGCACCAACGTAATTGTGACTTTGTGATTTTTTTGGCCTACGATTTCCCTTCATAACCGTCGAATTCTCTCCATGGTCTGAATAGGTAAACACGTCACTACTACAACTCTTTCATCATCTGTTTATCTCATCCAACTTCACGAAACTTCACTCACGATTCAAATAGTTTCAGACATAAATCTGGGATTGTCAGTTATGTGTTAGAACTGGGTCATTCACAGTAGTGATTCAAGCACAGCAACAGATGCCAATGGCACACATTTAGCCTGCACATGTCTGACAGTTCCACCGCCGGCTCTCGCTCCCTGTAGTCTAGTTATGGCGTTTCCCTACAGTTTGACTAGTACATAATGACTTACAATAAATCATACAAGTTTTCTTACCTTGGATTATTCATAAATATCCCAAAGTCGTTATAAACCTAAGATTATCCTCGACACATCTTTCACATAGGTCCTATCGGTAAATTCCGCCTTTTGGGAATGACCTCATCGTTTTCAAACATCGCCACATCATTGGTGATATGTGTGGATATCCAGCCAATCATGTGACAGCCTTCTATTTCTATTTATAGACGGAATTCCCCCTTGACAAGTGCCCGTTTGCAAATGATTGGTTTGTTTTATTGTTATTCATTCGCAGCGAGGTATTTCCGCAATGTAAAGCATAAAGACGTGTTAAATTATGAAAAGTATCTGGTAAATTTCTTGTAAGACTGGTCAGGCCAATGTTTATTATACAAATTCACTACATGGTGACGTATATGCTTAATTGTATTCGTCATTAAACAGTTGGATATAAGGAATCTTTATATACTATACATGTTTTCTAGCTCTCCATAGTGTTTACTATTCAATTGCTTATATTTGGATAAATGCGCGATTTTGTACACCCACAGACTTATATATAATCAGATATATATACCGTGATATATACGTCTCTGATATAATCAATGATGAAATAACGACACTACGGACAAGTGAATTGTTAAATTTTCGAGGCAACCTGTCCCTTTATCAAAACATAAAGATTACATAAATTACATCACATACATAGAACATGAAACAAATACAAAGTTATAAAGTTAAATCGAGAGCGGTGGTGTAAATTTAGCTATTTGATAATTCACTTGTCTGTACCGTCGTTATTACTTCATTGATCATATATCTATTCCGGTAATACTTTGTAAGGACCCAGTACCATTTTGGACCCTACCGTCGATGTTACCTACTAAGTCATATATACATATATAAGTCATTGAGCTCCCTTCATGTATCTCACTATCCCTGTACCCTTTTTGTGATGTAATGAAGTATTTATGATTATATATGGGGATTATATGGATATGTCGACGGAAGCACTTCAGATTTCTGTAAATTGGTAATTATCATCTTCCTTTGTATTCCAAGTTTGCATGTTTCTCTACATGTTTGAAATATTGATTTGTGTTAAACAGATTTGTAAAATTATAAGTTGTTTAAAACATATCTTAGATTAACTATTTGTTCATGAGATGTCTGAGGCGATCAAACATGTCTTATACTACATGTACCTTTCTAATAATAAATATTGCGTAACCTATGAAATTAGCAGAAAAAACGACAATCGGTTTTTAGAAAACGAGATGTAAAATGGCGAGTCTCCCATCCTGGTACAAACAAAGTTGTGAAAAAATACACGTGTTAGAGTAGAGTGGTGTATATATGTCCGGTATATATTTCATCAGCACACACGTTACATGACATACATCACATGGTTGTTACGTATTAAACAAACCAATCGATATCAAGTTAGGTACACGTTGTATACCTACAGTACTTACCTACGGGGCCATCCTTCTTGTCATTGAATACACAAAAATTTCAAATTCGTAAATCTATGTCAACTGTTGTCTGAGGCTTGTCCAATGGTGTGTAATGAAACGTTTGCCCGCCAAACAGAAATATGTCTATGTTTATATATATAAAAAAATTATCGACAAATTAAAGTATGTGATTACGTATGTGTTCGACATACCTTGATCGAAGTGGGAGGGTCTCCCGGGCGGTTCCCCGAATGTACTCGGGAGGGGGAGAGGTAGCCACGTCTTCGTCGTAGCCAGGTAAGTGTCTTCCACACCTCTGAGGACAGGTAATTCAGTTCTGCCTCACTGATTTTCACCTCATCTGTGTATACACAGGTAGGTAAAGGTAAGTATGAGAGCGCGCAGGTGAGGATAAGGGGGCTGTATGGCGTGAATAAGACAGGCAGGACATGGTTGAGTAATATTGTATGACAGTAAAAATGTACAAGGGCTAGCTAGAAAACAGTGTGGGTCTGTAGGTGCCTTTTATTTACATGTAATGAATACTTGGAAAAATACATTTAAGCGTCAAGAGACAATACATGTACATGTGCGAGAAGCAATTGAAACAAGTTCTTATAAAATTTCAATATCAGTATGTTATAAGACTTTGGACTGATAAACTAGTTCATGTCGGAAGATACTGGTAATGTAGGTTTAATCTGTGTTGTCCTTAATAACCATGAAATTTCTTTTTTTATATATATATAAATTCCTGCTCGTTCGGGGTTTTTTTGTGTGTGCGTTTTTTCACGGTTAATGGAGTAGCGTTTGTTTTTAGAGGTAAATCGTACTACTAACTAGACAGTTATACCTATCATCTATAATAGTGAACACATAAATAGGTCGATACACAGGTGATGATAGGTATGGCTCACCTAATCGTTTCTCACACGCTATATAGGTGTGTAATGATTACACTAGGTATATAGAACATCCTTATACTAATATCGGTTAAACCTTGAAAAAAAAACAACACGATAGGTAAAATAGTGTGGTAATAACGACGTTTTTATATCTCACAGCTAATCACCATAGCATTCTTTTCCTTCTAATCCTTTCTTACACGCAATGCAGTAATTGAAGGTGTGTCTCTGTCACGTGTCGATATTGGAACGTGCAAAGAGTGTCACGTTACCGAGGCAATAAGAAACAAGAGAGCCAGATAAATTATCTAAAATTGATATAGGTTAAATGATATTCGTTATGTTGCATATAATTACAAGATAGGCTTTGTTACACGGCATGCTATTTCATGTCTTTCACCTTAAAGATGACGTCACATTGAAACTCCATGACGACAACGACAGTTGCGACAACGTATTCACAATTACACAGGCATTGGACACAATGCATATTGTATTATTGTACACAGTGTGACCAGAAGGAGTATCACGACAAACCAAGTTATTTTATAAAACTTGATGGAATATATAACGCCCTTCAATAGTATAAGTAGGAAGAAAATCATTAAATGGTTAGCCCACCACCACCCTTTCATCCTAAAGGGAAGTTGTCAGAATGATTGCATCGTAATCTGCATTACAGATCTTTTGTTTCCTCCAAGTCATCCTCCTAGCTAAACATGTTAAATTCCAGAACTAAAACAAAGACGGAATCTCAATGCAACCTTATTGATTTTGTGAATCCTACAGACATGTATCAATTAACATTCCTTGCCCGCCGACAATATGCACACGATGACACAGCTTAACTCAATAAAGGATCAGAAAGGACGTCTCAAGGGATTAAAACCCTCCACAGCCTTTGTCCTACAGTGTGAATTTGTCCTGCAGTGTGAATTTGTCCAGCAGTGCGAAATTCTCTTGGTATTTTTACTGTACAACACACTGAGCTTTCAAACACACCCATTGTTGTATATTGTCTTTTATGTAGCTATTGCATTAGCAACAAAATAAAAATAGAAAATACAGTTATTTTACTAAATTAAGTCAGTGTGGTAATATGTGGAAATACAATTAAAGGATGCCATGAGGAGTGCTCCTGAAATGGTTCATCTTTTCTTAATCAGCCACAAATGGGCTTCATATACGTCTCTGGTTTTTGACCACATTCCATTTCGACGCGTAATGACCTTAAACAACCCTATTAAAACACAAACTGCTATAGCATGGTGGTAACCGATGATATCATACAGGTTATCTCCCTTACGGTGAGAGAAAACTACAAACATACATTTTCATTAATATTTTTGGAGAATTTTATTTATTCATTAATTGTAGGTTGTTGTTACTCTCTTATTGACCAACAAAATTAATATTATGACGAGTGATTTGCAAGGAAGCGGGGTATACATCCCAGTGTTAAAGAGCCACATAAGAGATACCGTTATCATTATCATGCAAATTATGTCATGCTGCACCGGTGATATCGATGTTACAGCAGTAAAAAGGTGTTAGTTATGTTTATCGACTTATAGTTACCGAGATTTATGGCAATATCGATAGATCCTTATCATTTTCATCACAACTAATGACGTCATGCTGAATATGTCACCACTATATTATCTAAGTGATCAGATTGCAAAAAATCGTCGCAAATGGTGATCAGTTAATGGTTGTACGTATCACTAATTAATGTTATCTGAAAAATGAGACATACGCGAAAAATGTAAGGAATTTGACTGTTTCATGGTGGTCAAATGTTAGTATAATGCCGACAATATACTAATGCAAGTAAGGCGCCTAATTTTTTTTCCAATAACTAACTGTTACAAAGTTGATAAAACGTACTAAAAGTAACCTTATTTACAGTTAAATATGCAAAACCTAGACGTTATTTCCAGAAAAGACTGATCGAATCAGATCAGTAATTATGATCTCACTTTCAGACTGGCGAATGGTTGACGTCGTCACGTTGGAGATGACGGTCGTCTGTGATTGGTTAGATCCTGCTGATGTGTCGGAGCACTGGGAGTCCTGATCATCGTCTGACGTCACAGTCTCGACGGACCCGAAACCTGTTCCTCTCCACCGGGGAAGAGTGGACATGACTCTATAAAAAGAAGGTAGTTACGGTTATTTCTGAATAATCCCGTTAAAAAATAGATACTACAATACTTATCGCATCAGACAATAGGGTGTAGTTACGGCCATGTTAATATAATCAACTCTGCTAGTAGGTACACAGCTCAGATACACCTGTAATGCTGACGTCAATCCTAGCACGATCACCTCAGATACACCAGTGATGATGACGTCAACCATAGCACGATCAGCTCAGATACACCAGCGATGCTGACGTCAGTCATAGCACGACCAGCTCAGATATACCAGTAATGCTGACGTCAATCATAGCACGATCACCTCAGATACACCAGTGATGATGACGTCAATCATAGCACGACCAGCTCATACACCAGTGATGATGACGTCAATCATAGCACTATCAGCTCAAAAACACCAGTGATGATGACGTCAATCATAGCACGATCACCTCAGATACACCAGTGATGAAGACGTCAATCATAGCACGATCAGCTCAGATACACCAGTGATGATGACGTCAATCATAGCATGACCAGCTCAGATACACCACCGATGATGACGTCAATCAATGTACGATCAGGTCAGATGCACTAGTTATAATGATGTAAAACATAGCACGATCGACTTCATTTTTTTATTCGTTTATTTTTTAAGGATGTCTGCCATGGAATGATATGATCAGACCCATCCGTTAGAACTGCCTTATACGTTATTATACGGATCAGACTGTGATGTACTTGTCTTGTCATTGGACAAAGCTCTTTACTTAAGCTATTTTGGATGGCATGCGACGGTCCTCGTGTATGTTGTTAGGTGAATTAACCAACATCTAATACAATATTCCGCCTCCAAATGACCTCGAGTGTTTACGGGGCGACAGATCGAGCAAACATTATACACGTCGAAACTGATGTATTCCACACCACAGTTTTATAAACTAACTATTCTATCCCGACCAATATACAGACATTTTATAAGGAATGACCTTAAACATCATAAGCTATTAAGTTTTTATTCATCAATAACCCAGACATTAAATCATCGCCATTATGAAAATAACTTTTAATGGTTTTCGCGCTTCACTGGAGAAATTTAATAGATTTATGGTCAATAATAACAATACACTCCCTTCCCACTGGTTCTAGTCATCACAGGTGCAGCTTCACAATGTAGGGCATCGGAAATATCAAGTGCGTTTTCAGTGGCATAGGATATTTTTTCAAAACAAATCTCGGCTGAAAATTGAACACAGGTGCAGCTATCGTCATTAAAGGTTGGTTTTCAGGAACATAAAGATATGTATAAAAATACTGCAGGGTAGCTGCCGATAGAAGAAAACAATTAGACTCATAGGGAAGTGCATGTTTTATGTAAAATTGACGAACAGTTTACTTTTACATAGAACGGGCCATGCTACCTGGCACCCTGATTGTGGTGAACATCCAATCGTGACGTCAGATGTAACAAACATTTTTCTCAATCAATCAAATTCGGTTTTAAAATCAAACCAAAATCAAAAAACCAAAACTCGATAAACCCAAGATTATTGCTATTTTGTCCCACGAGACAACAGAGCATATATTATCCTTATTTCGTTCCTAAGGGCGAAAAAACGATGACCATCCTTATTTCTCTCCGCGTGGACGACAGGAAGGTACTAACCATTATGTTGCAACAACAGAACAGTTTACGTTATTTCGCTGTACGGACGGTAGGAGCAGACTATCGTTGGTTCCCACCGATTTCTGTCCTTGGGAAAAGGACAGATTTTATCACAAGGTAATTACAAAATAACAAAATAGAACATATCAGCCACCATAATTGTCCTCTATCACATCATGGCTTTTTTTCTATGATACAGACGTATAATGTGGCACCATGCAGTGGACTGCATCCCAACACACTCCTAGATCATACGTTCACCAAATGTAAACTTTTATTACATTTTCCCTAGTGACATGTTTTACTTGATGTTGTGCCAAGAGAAAATAATTAAGACAACAACAGGCTAAAGTTAACCGGGGACAATGGACCAAGTGACCAACCCTCAGCATCAGGTGCCCGTGGACGGATGACTAAAAAAGCATAACTACGATTTTAATCTTCATTATTCTCTTACTCAATAACTGAGGCTACAACCCGCGTCCTCATTAAAATATCCAGATGTGGGTATTGTGGTGTTGTGGATGATTATAATATACATGGTTTATTAGTTAGAGCACGAGGGTCATCAAATGTCAACATCAAACTGGGAGAGAACAAAATGCGGAAGAAACTATTTTGGTTCTTATGAGCTGATGGTTTTTATTGCTGAAATGAACTGGGTACACAGAGTAAATTATCAAAATGTCACGTCTAACGAGAGTAAAGTATTAGGAACAAATAATGTTTCTTCCGTGTTATACTATTAAACTTTCAGTTTCCTTAATCTTGAATTTCCGGATACCTTGTCAATGTTCCATACTTTTATAAATGTTCGATACGGGTGACGTTTTTCAAGTGTGATTTTTTTCTTCTAACGCATTTAAATGTGGATCCTTAAATGGGTTTGATTTCGTGATATATATATATAAACTCTTAGAAGATTGCATTTTTACAAATAAGCTATAAGCAAATTCTTTAATGCTTCATTCTCGGCGATCATTTGTCCCGATAACTATTGTCTATATTATGACTTCCAAGTGAAACACTTCTCATGGAGTTACAACAGGTTATTAAATAACACAAAATCATGTGATTCATGTACTGAAAATTTGGTTTCACGTCCTTAATTCATACTTACCAACAGAGTGTCGTAATCCCGATTGTCAGGTGTCCGAACTCAAACTGTCCGCCATTCGCACCGAATTGAACTATGTACAGGAATAATATATATCACGGGAAATGGTCAATAACATCAACATTAAACACACCGAGTTAAATAGAGTTATAACAGTCAGTGTTTGTTCACAAACAAAGATTTTGGCACATACATACAATATATACATATAGATTTCAATATCGGCTGCGTAATTGATACCATTGTGTGGCTGAATAACAGTCAGATATATGTCTCATAAGCCTTCAAAGGCGGATTACAAAAAAGTTTAATCTTTCTATTAGAAGAGTCGAAGACTTCTAACGTTGAATTAAAACTAATAAAGACTTGTAATAGGGTTCATGTGAATTTATATCAGACATATCACCTGTTTACTAAACCCGGAACACGACAATTTCATGTGCACGACTGTCTTGAGCTTGCGTGATGTGTAATCTTGAAAAGTACATGATGCATGCTGCTGTAAACGGGCACCTGTCAATACCGGATGATATATAGAAAATGTGGTGATCTTAGAGATACATACTTACAGATGAAGCTTTGGATTCATCAGACGATCGCTATTGTTCGAAAAAGTCGAAAGGTGCTTAGTACCCACCCGCCATGTTTGAAAATTAGTTCCTCTATTCTGAGCTAGAGTTATGTTAATTTAAAGTGCCAGACGAATTATCAAGAAGTTGAATTCAACACAACAACTCTTTACTTTCTACAAACCACTTCAATTCACAATAGAAGCACATAGCATGATCATGCTTTATTTAACACATACAGTTAGCAAAACAAATATACCCAATTCATTTACAAAAGGAATGATGTACTTCGCTTGTTAATTTCACACGAGATATGAGCAAACGTAATGTATATACGGACTATTACTTCGAAACTTTAACTGCCATTCAGTGTATAATTGGATTATCGAAATCAGGTGGATTTTCTTAAGACGTTGAGTACCTGTGAATTGAATAATCAATATTAACATAGATTTGTTACTTATGAAATTCAAATTAACTGATCTATCACCTTCATGTCGTTAAAATAATACATGAATATATTTAAAGAGTAACGTTTCAATTGAAATCACTCACGAGTATTAAATCCACGCCATTTTGTTATCTGTGGAGTTACAATCAAAACGAGGTAATGTGAGATCACGACCTACCTAAATGCTATCGTGCGTGCGTCAAAACAATGCAGTAAATTTATATATATCTGAACTTGGTCTTTATAGATATCGCCAATATTACAATGTTATTCCGCCCAATAGACTCTTTATTCCTTTTCTGCTGAACTTACCTAAACTTTGTTACTTACTGATGCTGCCGATAACATATTCTATAAGTATCTGAATGAACTAATTGGTAATACAGAAATCGCAACAAGAAAGCCTCTCTACCAACCTTCAAATCTACTCTAGTTTCCTAAATAGAAACTAGGTTCTACAGCACATATACTTTTCCAAATATGTGCGAACTGTCGTGTACGTGGTCCGGATATCGAAAAGGGGGCCACCAAGAACAAACGACAGTACCAACATGCTAACTCCAATTCTACTAATCCATACAAGATATTAACGTAATATCAATCCAAATTTAATATTGGTCGTAACTGAGAATTTGAAGAGGGTATGATGCAAGTTTTTCATTTTTATAGTTAATCTGTCACTTCCAAATAAGGATATGTCATGGTACGGCGCACGTCCGTCCGGAGTCAAATTTTGCATTTAAACAGCCTCTTCTCAATAACCTAATTGCCAAGAATCGTATTTGGCTGGTAGGTTCATTGGATGAATCCCGACAAAATTTGTGTTTCTTAAAACATTTAAACTTTTCCAGACTATCAAAACGGCTTAGAATCGAGATATTTTGTGGGAAGGTTCCGAAGATGAATTCCAACAAAGTTTGCGAAAAGAAATTTTATTGACTCATATTCAAAGTCTCATGGGTTAAGTTTCTTAAAATTCTATGATTCCTCTGCTTACCTGAAAGGCCAGAATCAATATATTAGGCTGGTATGTTCAATGCCACTGGGGTATAAAACATTCAATTATTTTTCATTTCCTCATATAACGTATTGACTGAATTCATCAGAGGTGTAAGCATGCTAGTTTTACAATTTGTTTCAATATGTTTGATATAGACACAGTTTGACATATCAACAAGTGTGAAAAACATGGACTACCAGGTGAACTGGCCCATTGTGCTTCATGCTCCATTAGCTTTCATGCTGCTATATCCCACATCACATTGACAACTGTACCTGAACAATGTAAGACATTAAATGCATTTGGCATCATATTTATAGATAATGAATACTTGTCTGTACCGATTTCATTAAATATCTTCACATATCATATTTACAATTTTGAGAAAGTCTCTGCTACAATGTCAAACTCCTGATGAAAATGTTTAAAATCAACAACACTTCACTTTTCAGTCTAAATACTTATCTATGTTTATGTGGTAGTACTGATCAAACCTGATGCCTGAAGTTTTTGTTATTATTCAGTAAAATTGTCTCAAAAATAGCATGGGAATCCAGTACAATACAATATACATAGCTGCTCCGATGTTTACACACAATGCCATCTTGACAGTCCTCTCTAGACCAAGTTCATGACCATGGAGATACAATACATAGCTGCTTGACTGTTTACACACGATGCCATCTTGACAGTCCCCACTAGAATAAGTTCATAACCATGGAGATACAATACATAGCTGCTCGGTTGTTTACACACGATGCCACCTTGACAGTCCCCACTAGAATAAGTTCATGACCATGGAGATACAATACATAGCTGCTCGGTTGTTTACACACGATGCCACCTTGACAGTCCCCTCTAGAATAAGTTCATGACCATGGAGATACAATACATAGCTGCTCGGTTGTTTACACACGATGCCACCTTGACAGTCCCCTCTAGAATAAGTTCATGACCATGGAGATACAATACATAGCTGCTCGGTTGTTTACACACGATGCCACCTTGACAGTCCCCTCTAGAACATGGTCATTATAATGGAGATACATTAAGAAACTGTGGTACCAAAATGTGTTTTTTTGTCATGTTTTCTGAAAATGCTGACTGTATATGCGTGATGGTGTGGAGGACCATGGTATTTTAACAGATTATTTTACAGTTGCCCTGTGCAGTCACCTTTGTTTAAAACAGATTAGAACCCACACAGACAGATATGTAGTTAAGTCAACTTTAGATGAAAAAATAATATCAGCAAGCATTTTGGGTTTGGTTTGGGATCCAATGCCTTATATTACAGACATTATGTGTGGAGATTTGAGTCTGAAAAGGTGTCATAAGGATCAAGTTGCCTGTAATTCTAAGAAAGGTTTCCATCTAACTCAAGCCTCATACAGAGACTTCGTACTGTATAGGTTAGAATAAGATTATTTTTTCAGTTTGAAGAGAGTACCTCAAATTGAAAATCAGTTGTAGAATTCTTCAGGAGCCTCCAGATCCTCTCATACAGTATAACTTTACTCTTAGTGCTTGTTCAAGATTGCTTTTCAGGTATGAAGGTCAAAAGTCAAGGTTACCGTTACTGAAGAGAACCAGTTTTTACAATATAACTAGTCCCTTGGGTTTATCAATTTCACACTTCAAACTGTCAGTTTCCATACAGAAAATGTTTGTTTGGGATATTTCAGGTCTGAAGTTCAAAATCAATTTATATCGAATTATAAAAACAAAATATTGAGCATAATAATTTATCGTTATGCAAGAGGTCAAAGGTCATATTATCATGCCTGCAATATAATCAAACTTGATACCAAAGATTGATGGTTCATCACAAATTAATACTAAAATGATCTCAGGTGAAAGTTCAGTGCATAGAGTTAATGAAATAAAAGACTTTGCAACAATATTTTCCCATGATGCTAGATTCGTGTATAAACAACACATAAGTAACTAATCAAAAGTTGTATACAATTTATTGAAGATGTAGTGATGAATGAACAGATGGCAGTTACAGCAGTGCTCTCACTTTACAGGCTTTCCTGACTTTTTATTCTTCTTCATCTTAGTGCGAGCTTTTGACCTGTCTTTCTTTGTTTTCCTCGGTCCATCTGTTGAAGACTCTGTGTAAGATGCATGTTCAAGATTCTGTTTGTCAATCTGGTCATCCAATTCACTTGATATATCAGTATCCATGGATGCTTTCGTTTTCTTAGACTTTTTATCCGATTTCTTTTTCCTTAAAAGAGAAAAAGAAAATTAGCAGTTAGATAATTCATATATAAATTTAAATGATTAACAAACCTTTACCTACAAAGTACATTCTTTACAAAGTCTGACTTTCCACGACAAATTCTCCCAAAATATGAATCTTCTTACAGACATCAAAAGAAAGTAAAGCCCAATCATAAATAGTAGATTAAATTAGAACTACGAACCAATGGCTAAATAATACCTACCCACACCCTCCAACCATATGGCAAACAAATTTGAGTGAAAATGACTGAAAGCATAATATACATGGTGGCTAACATTCTTGCAACATTTCTGTGTATTTCATTGAAATTGTTCCACAAGATTGTGTGGACAACCATTCCTGTGTAGTTTTATTGAAATTACTCCCCAAGTTTTTGAGGAGTTGTCAGGGAAAATTATATCTATGGATGAAGAGATGGACAGAGAGGGTTGATTCCAGTCAGGGGCTATAATTACACCGAAGTTTTATAGTGTATAGTATACATGCTGAAGACCATTGATTGCAAATATACTAAGACAATATCAACAGATTGAATATAAACCTTACTTCGACCATCAGCTGAATATTTTCATTCTGCTTGTGAGTGGAGGACCATTCAAGATCTCTTGCCAGATTAAACTAACATAGAGCATTATGAAAACAATCCTAATTGTAATTCCATAATGACAAGTACAGACATTTTATCATTACTGCATGGCTGACATATAATAAATTTACATCATATCAACACATTATGATTCAGAACCTTGAGAGGGGACAATATGTAATACTCTTGTTGTCCTCTTTCTATTGTGCTGGATTATACAGAGTAATGTCTAATTCAATATTGCTATACGTCTTCTGAAATCATGTCGTCGTTGTTTATCATGCCATCTTCAAATCTATATTAAAATGAGTACATTGTATGGTTCTTTGATCAGGTAGGACATTTCTGATGGAACACTGATCAAATTTCTGATATTTACCTTTTTTCATTAATTACTGCCTGTAGGCGTCTTGCTTTGAGATTTGTGGAGATACAATCTCTCTTGGGCACTCTCTTGGACAACTTTTTTCTCTTTTTCCTGGAAGTTACAATTGAAAACATCATTAAACCAAAAACACTATAAAAGACATTTCTTATCTAATAATAAATCTTCTTCGTGTCATCATGCGACGATTGTAATTTATTATTGTTTATCTGTATTTTGTGAGAAGTCACTCAGAAGTTGGCACAACTTACTGACTAATCCCTTTGTCATTTCAAGTAAAATATGTTTTAAACCTAACAATACATTTCATATGTGTTTAGATGACAACTGAAAATGCTTAAAAAAAAAGATTTAATCTCAAAACAAAGAATGAAAATACTCTATACAATAAATGAAGGTACAATGTACATACAATCTTATATTTTCTCAGTCACTAATCGATACTTTTGTTTTGAGACCTATTTGACCATTTAATTCTGACATCAGAGGAAAGCAGTATCCTACATTCATAAACGACTTACTTGGACAGACGTTTTATCTGTAACATGTAGTCTGGGACAGGACAGCCAGCTTCTCGCATGATGTTAGCGATACTGAAACAAACAGTTGTGTATATCAGGCTACCTAAACATACAGTGAGGATTTGCGATGTTGTTTTTCACAATGTAGTTACTGCAGGAAGGAGAAAAAGAGTGACAGGAAAGGTAAATTGGTCAGTGTCTTTATAAAAAGATACTCAAGTTAGAAGACAATGAATACCTATAGGATCACAGGATTTCAATGCTTATAAAACATTAAACAGATATCCTTCATCTGCCTGAACTTAATTTGTAAGCTAACCATCCTCGACCACCATTAAATAGATAACACAAATTATTATTCAGATTATACAACACAAAATTTATATAAGACTGGTTTGACCATTTAATCATAAGACAGACTTCAGAAAGCTCCTTCCCACATCTCTTGTGAATCATTTACGGCTCTAAGACGAATCTTCACCCTAATATGATGAGTATATATTTGATAACACCCAGACCAAGCGTACCTGCGGATATTGGTAACGTCGTCTTCAGTAAAGAAGGTCACAGCCCTTCCTGGTCTCCCTGCTCGACCTGTCCTACCTGAAAGCATGATGTCAGAAGGTAATAACAATTTTCTTTGGAATAGATACGTTCCCTCGTGTATGTACACATGTAAGATAACCGTGTCTCATGTGGAACACCTAAATAAGTTTCATGTATTTACAACATATACATAACAATCATATATTGATGATCACAAGCTATATTCATAATTTTTTACTAGTGGTATTGTGTCCCACACAATATCATAAAAATTTTTTCTCGCTGCTAAGAAGGGACATTCCATAAACCATTTCAAAGCAGCAATCAGAGATAAAACTAGTTTGTACATATTGTTATGTAAAATGTTGTGTACTAATCCAAATTCAGATGTGCTGTGTTTACATGCATTGTATCATATTGATTGTTTACATAAAAACCTGTTTATGATTACTTGTCACAATATGTGTAGATAGTGCTAGGCAGATTTCTCTAGAAAGCTCAGTAACTGGAAGTTTCTAAATCTAGAAAGCTTGGTTATAAGAATTACTTGGGTGTTTCCAGAAGTTTCTAGAGACACATGTAAACAAGCTAGGTACCTGCTAGTCTAGAATAATCTAGAAAAGAACTTTCTAGAAACCTTTAGTGTATGTTAACATGATGGATCTGAGTCTGAGCAGCCTTTTTGATGTATTAACACCTTGAGTGAGCTTACTTTGAGACTTCAGTCTGTGAAGTGTGGACTTGTACAGTGTTTTAGTGATAGTGCCTTGTTATATATATACCCAGCGAGGAAACCATTCTTGGATCATTCGTTGGCTACCTTGTTTTCTGGACAATCTATTATGAATTCTTCTGGATTTGGAGGATTTCCACAGAAAGATTTCAGACTTTTGATTAATTAGTAGCTAGCTCTATACACCATCGCAGTATTTGTAATTCAACTGTATAGAATTTATTTGTTGTTATTAAATTGTTTAATTTTAACCTAGCTATTGGGTTTTATTTGCTGTACGTTACTTCCGTAATGTAACAATATATACTACAGCTGGTCAAGTCATTATTAATGCCCATCAAATCACAGAAGTAGATTAGCTGTAAAACTTTGCCAATGAAGCATTCGAAGTCTTCCATATTAAACAAAAGATTTGTTCTCCAAAATCACTATTACTGTACTGAAGACGATATCAGATTCTAGCTGATTTATTTCAGTTGATAAGATCACATTTATATATATATACTTTGATTGTCTATCTACAAAACATCAAGAAATACCAACATGGCAACATAATCATAATCCAGACTCAAAGTCTATAAAACTAGGGCAAAATATGAACAAAGGAAAGATTTTCAGGTAGACCCCTGAAAAAGTACAAGGAGAACAGGACCAGGTGTTCCAGAAGAGTAAACGTTTTCTGCTTTATCAACAACATCTACCCTGTAAACATTTGTCAATCCAGGTAAGTAATGTCACATTCTCAAATGAGACCAGGGTATACAAGTAAATTAACAAGCACATGACACATCCTGCTTCATATCAAACAAAGAAATATAATATTTCTTAATGACATCGCTATGGCAACCATAAAGCTTCTCCATAATTTCCATCTATCTGCATCTTTTGAATCCATGTGTTATGAGTTTGTCTGTTACTTGACGGCTTCTTGCATGAAAATCTTGTAAATGGGAACAGGACAAGTACATTAAATCAAGTGTGACAAAGGTAAGTGTTGCATGTCTCTATTTCCATCCTTGTTATATCAAAGGAGATTACTCACCTATTCTGTGGATATAGCTGATTGCACTGTTTGGGAAGTCATAATTGATAACCAGGTTGACTCCCTTGAAGTCAATTCCACGGCCCATCAGTTCTGTACAAATCATAATCCAGATCTTTCCAGCCCGGAAACTCTTCACTACATTGTCTCTCTATAACAATGCAACCATTTAGACTTTTAATGTTTTGTAGGCCTTTCAGTGTATGTGATGAAGACACACAAAATTTTAAGCAACTGATGAAAAAAAATTCTCATATCTTCAAAATCAGCATGTTTCTCTAGAGTAAAGTCAGTACCTATAGCCAAAAATTAACATAACAGTCAAACTTTGCCTGTGGTTTTCTAAGCAGACACGGGTGTGTTTATAGTTGAGCATTGTAAAAAAAATAAATGATATATATGTGTTCTTGTTAGGATTTTTCAACGTTTCCAACAAAAGAGAAAAACCAATTTAAAAAAGAGAAAGGTTGTTTACCTGAAGTTGTGTCCTGTCCGAGTGTATAGCATCAACATTAATCCCATCGTAGATGAGTTCCCGAAACAACTGCTTTGCACGATCTTTGGACTGGACAAACACTAAGACTGGTGGTTCTATACCCTGAAGTATTTACATAGACACAAAACATGAAGCTTTCTCACTTTCATTTGTCTATAAGATTTGGTACCAACTGTCATTACTTCAACTGATTCTTCCAAGGGAATGAGTTTCTCTAATATTCAAATAATTATTGATAAAATCAACTTGAAATTATTACATCTTATGTAAAATTTTCTACATTATGATACTGAATACCCTTAGTTATCTCTGAAGAACTATTTCTAGTTATTTCTAAAGAGAAAGTAAGTTTAAAGTGAGCTATGGTACTAAACCCCTCTAAACCCCTCCCCTTAGGCTCCTTTTCCAAACTGTGGCACAGCACACACAATATACTCAATCTCTCACAGTACACATTGCAACTACAGTGGTTCTCCGAATCTAGGTTCTAGACAAGCAATCCAGGAAGTGGTAGGGGTATGAGGGTGTCATACTCTACTCTGTCCACTAATATCAGCAAGTCATCAAAAGATCAACTGGACTTAGTGGACATGAGCACTGACTGATAAAAACGAGCCCACTAAAATGACCCTTTACTTTGATGGTTGTGTAAGATTGTATTCAATAATCTCATACATCAGTAGAATCAACAGAACATCTTACTTGCTGGATTATTTCTCTGATAGCAAACAGTTTTCCAGATTCTGTCCCAACAAATTTTAATTCTTGCTGTATAGTTTCTGTTGCTGAATTCCTGAAATAAGAAATTGTTTGGTTCAAATTAAAGTTAGAAATAATTTTTTCAATTTAATGAAAGGAAAAGCATAGCAAAGTTACAATTTCAGTTCTCCATATTTTCTTCAATTTAATTTTTAATCCAATAAATGAAATGTAACACAATGGGTAAACACGGTGTTTACTTGGGTTGACCGAAACGTTTATTTCATCGTATAGAGGTTTTCCATAGTCAGTACTTCGCGTTAATATCCATTACAAAAGATAGTTCCTAATCAACATACAGCAGCATGTCGTGACACCAAAGTAACCACCTGTGTAAGGCAGACAAAAACTAAACCCCTGCCCGTCCATATCAAAGAGTTCCATACAAATGTCCATGGGCCAACTTGACCAGGGCCCGCTCCATCGAGGAGCAGGTCCCATACGGGACTCTGCTCATCTCCACGTCCGACTCCCAACTCTCTCTAGCTTCTCAATCCCAGATTCGACTAGACTTCTGCTGGTTGTTATTGTCTAAGTGTAAATAATACCCAAATACTTTATTTCAGCCTAGTCCCTATTGGACAACAATAACCCATCCCCTGGAGCATCTAATTATGAAGGTACGTGCGACTAGGAGTACCCGTTATCAACTTCCCACCTTTGATCTACCTTATACATTGTTTCTTATCTTGTTTACTAACAAATATGTTCGCCAGCGCGAGGCATACAAAAGAGAGCATCTATCTGTCCTGATCAATCATACTGGCGATATTCTGCCACGGTGCTTCACTACTTGGGTACACACCCCGCCCGTTATCAGGCATGCATCATTACCAGTACCTATCACTGACAGGGTTTTTACCTCGGTCCAGCATTGACGGACTTTTGACCTGATGTACTTTAAACTAAGATGCTGCTCTCTACGATACACACCATTCCAAAGTTACCATTAAACCCATTTTTTCTCATTTTGTTACAAAAATCTCATTACCTAGCAGGTAATGAAAACAACACATATTTTGCCCAATACTGAATATGTTCCCTCTTATATGTTGTGCAGACACATACACACAGTGGAACACACTCACTTACCAGTAGCTCCTATGTAAGTCTGAATGACTACTCACAATAGTACACATATGCTTAGCTCCTATATAAGTCTGTATAACTACAAACAAACAGTGGTACACACTTACTTAGCTCCTATATAAGCCTGAATGACATTGTCCAGGTTAAGTTTACACCATTCCTCCACATCAAAAGCAAATGTGGCACTAAACATTGCACGTCGTAAGTTTGGACCATCACAGGCCTTGTAGATTTCAGCTAACTGGAACATAGATTCATAAGTTAAGTTGACCCTACATCTTTGTCTTTTATTTGTAAATTTGCCTATCAGTATCTTATCTGTTTCCATGGTGAAAAGACAAAATGAAAGTCTTCCACTGCTGTAGGTCATCTTAACGGTCATCTGACTACAAAACTTTCAGCAGGAAGATGGGTTATTTTTTATTCTTTGAATGAAAGCTTACCAAATAGCTTTTTTCCATGATGCAGCTGGTAGTTTTGGTGAGAAGTAGGTAACTGTAACAAGTGTTACATAATTTTTGACAGGAAAGTTTTCACACAGCATTTCAACCCTAAATCTGAGTCAGTTTCCTTTCTGAAGACACAGCCACGGCTGGCTGCCATGTGAAAGCTTTGACATAGTAAAAATATAACATTTTTTTGGCTACCTTTCCTTAACATCCCTACCAATTTTTAGCTCAATGACACCAGGGAAATTGGAGAAGAAGTTTGAAATATGTTTTTCAAGATGGTGGCCATAGTGGCAATCTTTGATTTCAGACAGACCCCTAAATAACAACACTTGGTCAGGACCATCTCATGATAATTTCATGCAAGTCTGAACTGAATCCCATTGGTGGAACTTTAGAAGTTTAAAATGTCAAAAGTTTATGAACAGCGGATGATGACGAATGACCTAAAAAACAAAAGAATTGAGAGCACATTTCAATGGCACTACCAGAATGCTAGATAGAAAATTCAGGTACTTGTCTTCAACACTTTCAGAGCTGTGGTCCAGAAAAAACTTTCATTTTGCTTTTCTGTTTCCATGGTAACAGAAAAAATGATTTAGGTAGAGAACTTCTCCATAGCAAAAAAGCGTTTTCAGAGTGCTAGTTTGATAACTGTACAAAGTTTTGAAAAAAAAATTTTCTTGAACGGTTTCAGAGTTCTGGTATGGAAAATGCTCATGCACAGTCAGATGGACAAAGCTGATTGTAATATACCCCTCCTCCCCAACATGTTTTGCAGGGATTAAAAACTTAAGACATCATATTAAAACTGGTCAAAATATTATAAAGCATATAAAATACCATTTGAAAGAAAACAAACTACATTGTCATCAGTATTAGTATCTTGGTAATGATGACTTATAGTTTTCAATGGCAAAATGAATAATTATATTGAGTAATCCTACAAGAAATGTTCCATACAAATGTTCAAGTCATTTTGATTACACTGGCTATAAAGTTAGATTACATACCTGATCTCTGAATCCTGTCTTGCCTTCCTCAAACAATTTATCAGATTCATCGACCACAAGCCATTCAACACTGCAAAAAGTACAGGTTATAGTAAACCAAACCTTAAAAATAGAATGACTTTTGTCAAGACTTAAAACTGATCATATTTCTCTACATTCGTCTTACTTTCAATGATATGATAGACTAATCAGAGTGGCAAACATCTTTTGTAATGACAAAGTTCCATCAGATTAAACCGATATACCGCTGGTCTTGAAAACTTTTTCGAAATCGGTAGGTAAGCATGCCCAGGGGGTTGTTTTTCTTATTAGCATATGCAACCACTCACTTTAGATTTTTTTTGAATGAATGACATACATTTTAGTTACAAAAGTCCACCTCTGGGTAAACTTAACCAGTAAAATATTGTGAAATATTAAATAGATATTTAGCGTTGTTTTTACCTGTTAAGTCGTAAACAGTCTTGTTTCAGCATATACACCAGTCTGTTGGGTGTTGATACCAGGACATCTGTATAAAATACAGCAGACAGGTTATAAATACAGACAGAAATTGCATCAAACCACAGATTGAACATAATAACATTTTACTGATAGATTAATCTCACTTTACAACAGAATGGCAACAGTACACATTGACCTTTTTTAACCAGAATCAGAGAAAGTTACTGAGGTAGTCTGAATGCTTGACAGATGGAAAATAGGTCAGTTAGGAGGGAGACAGTCACAGGTGAAGATTTCAGTTAGGCATTTACAAAATAATGTACCGTTTGTATGTATCATAAATGTAAATATGTTATATACAGTCTCTGACCTCAGTCTATATGATTCTGATGTCCATATATGTAAATATGAATTCTTACCAAACTTTTGAGATGATTTGGGGCCAAACTTCTTAATAGCTGTGCTGGCCTTCTCAATATAGTGTATCCTAAAGCCCCTTCCTTCGGAAAGCTTTTGAAATTCTCTGCATGTCTGTAAAATATTCAATGTAAAGTATGTTTACACATGAGTTTCACAAAAGTTCACATTTGATACAGAAAACAAAAAATGAATACAGAGATGTAATGTTGGACATTTGATTCTTGTTTTGCAGTTTGAACACTTGTCTAAAACATACTGTGAAACATTCGAGAATGCATTGTATTCGACAAATTAAAGTATTTTGAATCTTTTCATCAAAGTATTCTCTGAAGTTTAACAATAGCCACTGATATATACCAGTTATCTCCCTTTACAGTATGTTCATCTACCACAGAGACAAAATTACCCATTATATTAAATGAGGTCATGATGACAATTTCATTTAAGCATTAAAAGGTAGACAATCTGGATTTGTTGTGTGAGAACAGAACCTTTTTCTTAGTGTAATAAGCTTATGAATGGTACAAACTATATTCATACCACCTGAACCAGTATCAATTTGATATTTAAATTACCATTTAACCATTTAACATCAAAACAATCAGGTATTTCTGTCAACATTTTATCATTTTTTCTGAGAGATTATACAGTATTTTGCTATTCACCTGTTTTGCTAACTCTCTGGTAGGAGCTAATACCAGAGCTCTAAATCCCTGGTTCCTTGGCTCCTTCAGGTGGTGAAGAATTGGGATGATAAAAGCTGCTGTTTTCCCTGACCCTGTTGGAGCACATGCCATTAACTCCCTTCTCTGTAATGAAAAGTAACTGTCAACCATTGCCTTACTCATAGAATAATATGCACATTTATCAATAAGTTTATTTCACAAGTTTCCAAGTTCTAAAGGTGATATCTCTTTGAAGTAAATATTGATCTTTTTTACAAAAAAAAAGTAGGTGGGTCTCCTAATAGGTTAAATGTGACTTGTGCCTACAATACTATCTACCACAACTGTTATTTAAGAGACCATTATTTGTAACATAAAAAAAGTTACATTCATTCTATACATAATGATGTCTCAAAGGCTCTTCAGTAACAAGGTACAGCAATGAGACTTGACTGTAAACCATCTTACATGTAGCATGATAGGAATAGCTTGCATCTGTATAGGAGTAGGAAGGTCATAGCCTGCAGCCTTAATGTTCTGGACAAGTTGAGGATGAACGTTGTACTCATCGACAAGATTATCAAAAGTTTCCAGCACACGGGGAACATCTGTCCCATGGGTATGGATCCTGTGCTTGTTCTTAACATGGTTGAGCTATGAAGATATTAGGAAAAAATAAAACAACTGAACTGAAATCTATAACAGTTATTCTATTATGTTATATTTTTATACAATCATACATCAAAAAGACCTGTAGTCTTCATTTATGTTTCTTAATTTGTTTTGAATGACTCATAACATTTTCCTTAATTATACCAATTAGCATGATTGGTAGATCTGTATGATATATTAAATCATTAACATGGATATCTTCAAATAAAAGTAAATGAAAATGTTATACACAGTAATTATAACATGTATTTGAAATGTCTAAGATTTGTTTATTGGGTGCATTGCTTTTTGAACAACCAGGGTCAATTTGAGACAGGGTCACCTTGTAGTAGCTGGTGGCTACCTCACAAAACAACATATGGGAGGCCAATTGCTTGCCATCCACAGCAACTGGAGTAAAGCATCTAGCTGAAAGGCACAACTACCACAGCCCAGACCAATCTCTTTCTCAGCTTCCGGAGAAATACAAACCACCACTGGTAAGAAGTGTCGAAACACGCACCTCAGATCTTCACCTCAAGTTACTTTGACCAATAATCTACTGACTGAGCTTCTAACATTGTTATTAACAAGGAACAGCAAATTTAAGTGCATTTGGAAGAAAAACTTGGAAAGTTGGCATACTACTTTATACCTGTTCTCTTTGTATCTGAACCCGTTTCTCTAAAGAGCTGTCCTTAGTAGTTGTTTTCTTACACCTGTCCTTCTGGTGTGATATTTTTCCATTTTGAGACTTGATGCTGCCAAGTAATTGCAGTTCTGGCTCTGTCTCTTGATCAATATTTGAGGAAATGTCTGATACTATGTCATCTTCTGAATACAACTCATCTTCTTCACCACTGGAATCATCAGATTCTTCTACAAAAAAAATGTTCACATGATTTCTTTACAAAAACAATAATTTCAATAACTCCCACCCACTATTGCAGTAAACAAAATAAACAGTACACAGCAAGCAAATGTTACCTTTGAACTTTTTCCTTGCCTGATCAGTGTCCTTGGATGCTTTCCTTTTGGGAGTTGGATTTTGAGTCTTATCAATTTGGTTTTGTTGTTGGCTAGCTGGACGGGTTAACTACAAAAATAGATCTGATATCTTAGATTGCACAAACAATGATTCCCTATAATTAGCATGGATACATAATGTAGCAACTGGAAACAAAAGTCTGGGTGGAGACTGATCTGGTGTTTATTTTGTATTTGTAAACTGAGCCATGAGGTCATTAAACTTCCCTTTCCAGTTTTTATCCACTAGGTTTTTATTTATCTATATCCCAGCACTGAGTGGCCTTACCAGAACCATCTTGTCAGGCAGTGAGAATTGATGCTAATTTTCATCACAAAAATAACAAATGAATGAAATAATTCATCATAAAAACATAAAGGGAAAATAACTCAGCTTTTTAATGCATTTGATGTAGGAATGACTTCTTAATATTTGAAACTGAAAGTTGCATAAAATAAAGGGTAATATTTCAATAATTAACAAAAAAAAATTTTTTGAAAATAAAACACGTGGTTCGTTTCTTTAATATCAGAAGTTGATAGCAATGATTTGGCTTTAAAGTTAGCATGATCAATTTGAACATTATTTGGCTTTCTATCAATGATCCAGGTGAAAAGAAGGGTATAAAACAAAACATCCTGGCTATGGTTATAACGAATTATAGAGAAGTATAAAACACAACCTGAAAATCAAAAAAACACAGATTCAGAGTCAAAAGAGATTGGACTGAATAGTCTATACTTCATCCTGTTTTGTCATGATATCTTTGTTTTTTACAACTGATTGCAGCCTATAAAAATATTAAAATTTTGGAATTCAGTACATTTCATTGACATTCACACCTATTTTTGTTTATCATAAACAACATTTGTTTCATATTTCAAATCATTGGCATTTTTGCATAACTGACATATTAATGTATTGAACTTTTTGGACTGCAGGTTATGAAAAGTTCAGAAATTTCTTCAACAGTATTTGTACATTGATAAGTTTTGTCTTAAATTCAACCTTGCCATTCTTTACACAATGAAACCTTCTGTCAGAAAATTAACAATGGTGAGTACATTATGAAAAAAAATAACTCTTTCACTGCTATTAATTACAATGTGGCTGTCTTTTGGATTACACTGTGCAGTGTTTGGTTGATTGAGTTGTGAATCAATTTTTTCTGTTCTTCTGAAATGATATTGAAAAATTATGCTCCCAATCAATTCAAGAACATATAACTTTCAGAAAGTATAATTCTATCAATTGAAAACCACGCATTTTCAATGAAGCCAAGATTATTCATATTATTTTAACAAATGTAATTCCTACATTTACTGGCTTTACATCAAGAACACCTTTTTATATATTCAATGTAAGTAATCTCTTCAACCCATATCCTTTTCTGTATATTTGAGACCAGTGTGGAGGATCTTAGGTGATCCTGTACTGGTAATAAACTTTACATGACATGACGGAGTACCATAGTAGTATGTCATATGAACTGTGATTGAAAAAAAATCAATTCAATTTCATAAGAAATATTTCTCTTATCAAATGGCACACAAGTATGTGTATTTTTGAAATATTTTTAAATGTTGTAATTGCTACTAATTTTGTTAATTATTTGTAGTAAACCAACGTTGTCGATGTGCCTGATTAGCCACTAAAACGGTCCGGAACGAAAACGAACCGGGCACAACTACGAAATTCAAATGCATAAACGAAAGGGTCCCAGTACTAGAGCTATATATACAAAATTCATTATTTAAGCCTTTAAAACATAATCACAAAAAAAGACTCGGCTCATAGCAATGACAGTTAACAGCCTGGTGTTACCTTAAATCGCTCGGCATCTTTCTGAAACCTTTCAATATTAAATTTAACACCGACACCAAGTTTTTTGAACAAATCAAACCCATCCATGCTTCTTCGAGTAAATATTCCGGATGTAGAATTAAGGGTGGGCATATGATTTGTGAGTGACTTCCCTTGAACATGTGTATCTAATCAGAAATTTGCCATATTATATAAAACCTTAAGCACTTTTATCAACGAAAACTTAAGTTTTTTAAAAATCATATCTGTAATCAGAAAAGAAACATAAATAGATCATCTTTGTTTTCTGTGTTTCACTGTATTTTTTTCTCGAATATTCTCTTCATAGGCGGCGCTCTACAACTTCCGGGAGATTCCCTTCCAGAAACGTGCTGAACAGCGTTGGCTGTATCGAAGCGTGTATCAGTAAACATTTTAAAAGACCAATCAAACCAGAAACTAATAAGTGGACGGTTTTTAACTATCCTGATTTTTTAATGTAAAATGGCGAAATGGGGAGAGGGAGACCCTCGCTGGATTGTAGAAGAACGGCCAGACGGTACAAATGTAAATAATTGGCACTGGTAAGTTAGCGAGCGGGTTGATGTGTACTGACAGTGCAGATACGGATATTGATAATTTCCCCTCATGAATCATGCCTTTGAGTCTTATTATTTCGGTTCTTGGAAGTACTAGGACCGAGAAATTTTAAAACTTTGAAAAGTTGATCCAAAAAATAAAAAGTTTTAGATCTACTAAAGAATTGAATCCTTGCAGATTTGTTTATTTTCTGTTCTACTATTCAGTTATGATGGATTTCGTCATTCTACTTTTAATTTACAAAGGCAATGATCCCTTATGTGACTGTTCATTCGTGTTTTTGCTTTAAAAAGTCCTGATTCCGATATTTTGATTGTAACAATATCTTTTTTTCCCTTGATAATCTAAAATCTAAATAAAATAAGATTCTCATGCTACAGTTTTTGCTGTTGTCGTTTATAACGACAATACTGGTTGCTAGGTTAACCAAGCACTGTATAACACAACAGAATGAATATATCCCAATTATATTGAAGTTCTCTTCTAAGCCTGATATAGGCCCCTATACATGTGCAATTGTTTTTTATAGGACTGAGAAGAATGCGACAAATTGGTCAAAGGACAAGTTGAAAGAACTGTTAAATGGTTTAATAGTTGAAGACGAAGAATGTAAGTTTTCAAGATGGAAAAGTAACGTACCACTTCACAAATGTTTCTTGTATCAGAAACATTGCTCTTCTAATCCAAGGTTCAGAGCATCAAAATGATCCATAGACCAGGGATAAATATGACAAATGCACAAGTTTCATTTGTCAGAAGGGTTCTAGCTATCTGTCCATGATTTCATTTTGTCTTGGTTGCAGACCTATACTCAGAGTTCTACCCTATATAAAAAAAATAAATACTAGTGACCTGTGTAAGGGTCAGAATTCAGGGAATGTTTTATATATTTAACAACAGTGCAATAGTTATGAATCATACATGGGTAGAAAGATAAAACATTTTACTTTTAACTTGCTCGTGTGTCAAAGCATTTAGATATTGTAAACTAAGTATTTCCACTCTAATTTCGAGCATATTTATAATGGCCACCACTATGCGGAATTTCTGTAGACTTGTAAACCTGTAAACCTACAAAAAAGTAAATTCAGGCGAGATGGATGGGAACAGAAGATAACAATCAGCCACGGATAGATAGTCAGAACTTTCGGACTAGAGTTACATAAGCAAACAGAAAAAGGATAGAAATACCAGAACATCAACAACTGTACTATAATCACTTTGATATTACTTCCAATTCATTAATGGAGCTAAGGATACTAGTTAATTTTCATGTTTAACTGGGAAACAAAAACAAATGTTGTAAAAGTTAAAGACATTAGTGCTTAATCTACTATGCCAACATCAATAAGTTTTGTATTTTTTCAGACAAGTCCAGAACACCATGTCCAAAACTATGACGAGTCAGAATCTCATTACTAAGAGAGATAGTGGCTCCTCAAAATATAAGTGAAAAACATAAGTCCAGTACTTAAATATCTGAGTCCCAAATATCATTGCAACATGCCCCTATATTAGTATTAGTTCTCAGCTATGCCCATGAAATATCACAATGAAACAAAATGCTGCAAAAATCTAAAAAAAAAAAGTGAAACAGTTACCCTGGTAAATTTTGTTAGTAATGCTATCTTTATTCCCACTGTAAATAGATATGTGGAAATTTAGGTATTGATGTAATCCGCTTAGACAACAAAATATGATATCTCCTTGTTATAACAGACAGTAATATTGGTATAGGAGTGATTTCCCTATATCTTGAGCAGCCGTCAAAATAAGGAATAAAATACTCTGTTCTAGAATGGAAAAAAACACTCATTTCTTAATTTGTTTTTCTTCTTTTTAATCCAAATTTTTTAAACTTACATACGAATTAAACTCTACATGTGTTGTAATGTCACATCTGAGAATATCAGCTGAAATGATATGACACATTCTGAACACAAATAGGATTTTTAAAAAAAATAGTTTCTAACAGTGACAAGGAAGTCTCCAATCACTGCGCATGTTTGTTGGATAGGGTTATCTCCCATGGGAATGCAGGATACATACATCTATGAAGAATTGAGAGCAATATGTAGTTTATGTAAAGATAATTTGTGAGATTAGAGGGAAGTACATGTTTCTAGATGTTGTGATCAAATATTCCTGTAGATTTTTTGTTTGCTGTGGTGATGTGATAGCTTTAACTACAATAAATTGATTGTAAAAATATGCATTCAACTGAATTTTTTTTATATGATAACACTGTTAATAGGTTTGAATTCCAGGAAGTCAAAGTCAAAGCTAATATTTCCATCAATAAGAAATTAACCATTATACAATTCATGTTTTCTTAATTTTTTAGTTTGCGTTTATGTTTGTATAATCATATAAGCTCTCCAATATTAAATGTGATGTTTATGTGATTTATACTGTCTATACAAGATGTGAAAAGGTGCACAACAACTGCTTGTCTTTGCAGATTTCTGTGAAATAAAATCCTTGACAACATTAGATGGGGAAGCTACAGCAAATAACAGAAAAGGAAAATTGATATTTTTTTATGAATGGACCATTGCAGGCGAGTGGTCAGGTGAGTTACATATGTATATATTGTAAACCTTCTGTCAATCCAAGCAAACTTGAATAAATACTATTTAACCTTTGTGAATTCTATGAAATTATGTCTGAAAATTAATGAAGAGTTTGAACTATCACAGTTTGTATCACCTGAAATCATGACAAAGTGTTGAAAACGTCTTGGCAGTGCAGGAAACTCCCAATTGCAAATGGTGTGTTTGGGGTAACGAAAATATTACAGATTCATGTTCGTTAAAATCATCTTGTCTACATGTGCATATCTATGAGTCTTACAATGATTTATTTGACATAATAAAAAGGGATATTGTTGGTGTGGTTATCTAATCAAAATGTTAAGTGAAACACAGTTGCTTGTGCCTACATTCTGCGCTCTGTATACCAGAGTTGAATCTTCCAATCGTGTAAGCTGGTCCACGATGTGACAGAAAACTTACTGAATCAATGCTGTGTATGATTTGGTAGTATCACTGTCAAGTATCAATAGGCATATGTACAATCCCATGATATGTTTGAATGTTTAAAACACATCTTTGTTTTACAGGGAAGCTAAAAGATGGTGTCAAGAACCATAAAGGAAAGTTTGAAATTCCAAATCTTAGTGAAGAAAATGAAGCAGATGAAGTGAATGTAAGTACTATACTGTAAGGCTATAGAAAATAACTGCTAACTGAATGCAATCATGTTTTAGTTAAGACCTAAACTATATTTAAATGTTACTTCATTACTTGAGACTTCAGAGAAGTTCAGAACTGTTGATTTGCACTGAAGGTACATACCATGCTGTAATAAACATTTAGCTCAATTTTCTAATTAAGTAAGACTGAAAGATACGATATCTTTTGTGGTACATAAAAGTCTAGATGATGGAAACAAACTCATAAACAAATTTGATTTGTATTGATAGCATAGTATAACATCACAAAGTTCTCTGCTTGATTGGACTTAAATTAGGTTAAAATGAAGGAATGATAATTCTCAATTCACCACTTTTGATGAGGGTGTCTATTCATTTATTTATTTGGTTGACATTGTACAAAAAGAGATGTCTTTTAACTTTGTTTCAGTTTGAAGTTACAATAGACAAAACTACAGATGAATCATTTAAAGTGAAAGAAATGATGAGAAAGAAAGGCCAGGAATTAGTTCGGACACAAGTTGCAAAATACATGAAAGAACTAAAAGAAGGTAATTTTGTATAAAAAAAAGTATATTCAGTGTAATGAATGAAAAAAAATTCTTTCCTCTCCAAAAAGAATGAAGAAGTAAAGTATATATATATATATATGGAGGTTAGCATGATCACAAGTTATCTAAGAGGTTGTATATCATGTGTGATTATTACTTGTATGTATGATTATACATATTTAAAACATGATCTAATTTTGTATGCATTTTTGGACCATCAATGGAAATCACTGTCCACACAAAAATTAGTTTGAAATACTTCCATATACTGTTATGTTTACGGACATGGGTTGTGTTGTCACCAGTTGTAGGTCACCTTGACATAGCTCTTGGCCTGTTCAGAACAACAGAAGAAAATGTTGTGTGGAATTTCTCTTTGAAATCTATGATTAGCAAAACATTTAATGCTGTTGCCTCTTGCTATTTCTTAGTGACATGTCTGAATAAATTTTATCAACTAATTCAATATGGCAGTAGATGCTTGTGAAAACTAGTTCTGTGGTTACATGCATGACATGATTTTCTCTGATTAGCATGAAGACTTTGTGATTCTGTCAAGGTGAAAAAAGAAAAAATGATTCTCTCATGTTAAAATTTCTTTGAAAATTTGAATGAATTATCTTACATCAAAAAACCTTGTTATCAGTTATTACCACTGATCCTGGTGTTTTATAGTGCCATATTTCATATCTTCATGTTCAGAGTAAAATGTATTGAATCTTATAAGAATCAAGTTATTCAATTTACATTTTTGGTTTTTTTTAGAGTATGGAAAAGGAATTGTTCTTCCCACTAAAGGGAGTTCTACAGTGACTGCCACTGAAAAGAAACAGGCTGAGGTAAGTTTTACTGTAATAATTGCTTGCTATCTATACTAAAATTTCAAATGCTCGTTGTAAGACTAAACAGTTGTTTTTTTTCTATAAAATGCTTTTGTTGAAAATTAAAATATCTATGTAGACAGCTATACTGCAGCTTTAATTCGTATACTTGTCAATTTCAGAACAAAATGCGACAAGAAATGAACAAAATGATAATAAACAAGTCCAATGACAACGTTGGTGTAAGGATCCACACAAAAAAACTCACAGAAAAGGAAGAATTCAGATGTCGTGCAGAGGATTTATACAGGGCACTGACAGATAAGGAGGTAAGATATAGGGCACTTGACAGAAGAGGGGGGTAAGATATGGGGTGCTGAAATAACGATGTAAGACAAGACACTGACAGATAACCAGGTAAGATACAGGGCACTGATAGATAAGGGGGTAAGATACAGGGCACTGATAGATAAGGGGGTAAGATACAGGGCACTGATAGATAACAAGGCAAGATACAGGGCACTGATAGATAAGGGGATACAATTTCAGTTGTTGTATATTGGACTTAAACAAGGCACTGATAGATAGAGAGGCAAGTATATAGGGCACTGGCAGAAAGGGAGATAAAAGTTCAAATGTTGTGTATAGGACTCTCACAAACCGCTGACAGACAGAGAACTTATACAGAACACTGACAGATAGAGAACTTATACAGAACACTGACAGATAAAGGGTGTGAAATTTCAACAGTTTTATGATCTTGATTTAAAGTATAAAACGTAAAATATTGTTGCAGTACAGAGTATAATGTCTTGGTCATACCAGATATATTTACATGTTGTTGGACTTGTCACTGATTCGTCTACATTGATTTCTCTTCAGATGGTGCAAGCTTTTACCTGTGGTCCTGTGTCGATGGAAGTGGAGAAGGGAGGACGATTCTCACTTCTCAATGGCAATATAACTGGAGAATTTTTGGAATTGGTGAGTTAAATACTTTAGTGAAAGTTAGTATGATAGCTAGTATGGTAGGCAGCTACACAATATCTATTTTTATTTCTGTTGAAAAATGTATACATGTACATTGCTGATCAATAAACATATAGTATTCTTTTATGTCAAGAGCATTTTATGTTCTTCTGTTTATTAATATCGTCATTGAATTAAATTTGGAAAATTTTACTGTTGTGTTTGTATTGTCATTTAGATATTGTGAACAGCTAAGCTATGACATATAACTATATCATCGATTTGAATTTTATCTTTTAAAATCATTTAATCACTGTCATGATTGAATTATTCTTTAATTGTAGGTTCAACCAACAAAAATTGTTCAAAGGTGGAGGGTGAAAAGTTGGCCAGAGGAACATTATTCAGTAGTTACCTTCGACCTGGTGGAAAAAGAGGACTGTACAGTGTTAAATATAACACAAACAGGTGTCCCAGACACCGAATTAGAAAAAACTCGTGAAGGGTGGAAATTGAACTATTGGAACAGAATCAAACAAATATTTGGATTTGGTTCAAATATATTTTGTTGATGATAGATTTTCTTAAATGTGATGATGTTGTAAGTAAATACCTAGGAAATGATTTTCCTGACAGGTTATCCAGGAATGTACTAAGTGACCCTGACAAGCTATTTGATCTCTTAACGACTTAACAAAAGTTTGGTGTCCGCAGCTCTGAGGGATTACTCAGAATTGGAAAAGATGTATCTGGCTGCATGTCGTTCCAATAGCCAACATCTTCAGAAGGTATCAATGAATGAAGTAAGGAATATTGGAGCAGTAAACCTTGTCATCTGCTCACCCCAATTTTTCAATATAAAACCTTATGACATGAAATGCATTTTATACAGGTTCATGAAGCAACCAGGACACAACTATGGGTACACAAGCGCATTGAATCCATACAGCATTGCTTTCCTTAAAATTAACCTATTGCATTTGTTTTCATATCGGACTGAAATATTTTAAGATTTTGTCTTTTAAGGACAAAACTAGTGGGAAAACCTGGATGTAATGAATGTGAATTTTGAATGTCTAGTATTTTATGAATACTAGAATAGATACCTTCATGTAATTTATACAAACTTTTGAATGTCTAGTATTTTATGAATACTAAAATAGATACCTTCATGTAATTTATACAAACTTTTGAATGTCTAGTATTTTATAATTTTTTTCTCATGTGGCTGCTGTCTTTTCCCTTGCTACATCACGTTTGTTTACATGTGATGAACTGGGATACAAACAATTATTACCTTAACACTTCTCATGAATATCATTGATTGAACACCAAGGATAATTTTCCATAAGATATTCAAGTCATTGGTTGACTGGCTTCACTTTACTTTTGATTTTGATGGAACTTTTTACCAGTTTTCATTACACAAATACCCTGATACCCTGGTATGGGGTCGTACATGTGGAGGTCAAGATTGCTGTTACTATAAATAAATGTTTATGCCGTCACTTGACATTGTTGTTTCCTTTCTTATGGTAATTAATTATATAACAATTAAAACAGCTGTTTGTTTAGACATTGCACAGTACGTTCTTATTTGAAGTTGATGTGGATTAGAATTGAAACTCGGAAAGGTTATGATTGCAGCATTGCAACTTATTTATAAGCTACCATTTTACACTACCATTCATTAAAAAGTATTGTTTTCTTAATTTCTTAATTGAAAATTATGTCTTGATATAGCTCTTGAACATCATCACCATTTTATTATATTGCATTAGCCAAATAGGCAGGTGGGTGGGGAGGAGCGTGGCTAGGGTTTAATACCAATTAGTACATGTATTAGCAAATTTTGATTTATTTGAATTTGATATATTATGGTATGGTGTTGTCCATCTGTCATAAACTTAAATTTGTCTGAAGATCTATAGTTTTCAACAGATCTTTTTCAAACTTTGTATGCTTAATTACCATGACATAAAGTTATCTTTTCCTGAACAGCGGTTTGATTGGACTTTATTTGATAGAGTTACTGCCCCTTGTTTTCATAATTTTCAATCTTGTCAGGAGATCTCATCCTAGTTTTCTACTGATTTCATTGAAATGTCATAGGCTTAATCACCATGACATAAGTTCTGTTTTCCTGAACAGCAGTTTGATTCAACAGTATTTAGAGGTCATTGTCCCTTGTTGTTTTCATACTGTTAATATTGTATGGTTATCATCTGTCTCGGTTTTCAATTAATTATTTCAAAACTTGAAAGGCTTAAGACATGAATTAGTATTTTCATACAGAGCAGTTTGATTCAACAATTTTTGAAAGATTTATCGCCCTTTGTTTTTTTCCAAGCATCTTAATTTTGTATGAGATCTCTAGTTTTGCACAAACTTTCTCTAAAACTCGGCTTTATAACTATTACATGAAATGATGCTTTCCTTGTTGGCTCTGTGATTTTACAATCATGGAAAGATTTATTCCCTTTATTTCAATTTTTTTCATCTTGTCAAGGTATCATCTCCGTCAGTCAAACATTTTCTTTGAGAATAGGTAGGACTGTGAACGTTTTTTATTCTTGTGACATTTTGATTCAACAGTATTTCCTTCCGTTTTCCAACCAATCTCTTTGAGAACTTTATCATTAAAATATATAGAACTGTTTTTCCATTTTGACATACCTTTTTGATACAACAAATCATGAGTACTTTTTCAGGACATGATGGGCAGTTCCAACCTGCATTACTCAAGTGAATCACTGTGTTTGATTTATACTACTGGTTAAACTGTGTGAACTACTCACAATGGTTAATATGGCTGTTGATGGCCATCTAGAATATAATATCATGCTCAAAATGTTACATGTAAAACAATGTTGAATATTTCCATGCAGGTTAATGGAAATCCTTTATGAATTCTGATGAAATAGTAGTAACAAAGGGATTTAAAGACAGATGGGACAGAGAAAAAGTGATATAAAAGGACATTGTCTAATGATGGTAGATTAACAAAGTGTTGACTGGACTGAAAAGCTCATTACAGTCAAATGTCCGTATCTAAAAGTCTGCAGGACCATGGGAAATTTTAAAGTTATCCAAGTATTCAATTTAAGTAAGTTTGAACGTTTAGTGTGAACTTTGGCCAGGGCCAACAAAATACAATTATACAAGGTCTTTGAGTAATATGACTTCAAGTTAACAAGCTTCATCTGTATATGATAGAAGGCTAAAAATCTTTTTCTTCATGACTGTGAATGTACATCTTAATCAATATCATTTATTCTTGCAAACTTACTCATAAGACAGAACAAGAATACCTACAGAGCTAAACATTATCTGATTACTTTTTTCTTAATACAATATTAAACCTTCCATGCAGATAAAACAAAACTCAAATATTAAAATACTGATGACTTTTTAATCATTTGTTCAAAAAGATGTCATTATTTCTATATGAATTATCAGCACATTAAGTATGGAAGCAAGTTCGGTGACAGTCATAAATAAAAACACAAAATATCATACATATACAGAATGCATTTTGGTCAAGGATCAAATTTCTTTGGTACATAACATACATACCACATAGAACAAATTTCTCTGCTCACAACATCACAATACTAATGAATAGCTGTATTCAGATGTCGGAAGAGCTCCACACATCACACATCTATCTAGAAGTCACCAGATTTTGACAAGCCATGACAAGGGATACTGGTCCAATACTTTTAAGAAGCTTCAAAACAAAATGTCCTCCACGTGTAATCTGATTAAACTGACAATAAGCCTAAAGCACAAAGATCAGTGATCAGATGATTGATTCAGTGTAAAATTTCAAAAGTCATGGTAAAATTTACAATTACACATTCAACAGACTGATTACAGGATTATTTTCCTTGATAAACCAGATGCTTTCTCATGGCAAGTCATATTGCTTCTCTGAACACAAACAGATGTGAACCAGTATGGAGCCAAAAAGATATGAACCACTTGGTGGTAGGATGTGAAAATCATGGGCAGCACTGATTATGGACTATGTCATGCAATGAAACATTCAAAAACGAGATCTGGAGAGTGCACAATCATAGCAAAATATAACAATCACATTCTGATACTGTACATGTAAAGCAGTATCATATTTTTATGTTATGTGTACTTGCTTTCAGATAATATTCTATTCATCACAGTGTTACTTTATAACATAGTATTCTCCTGCAATAAGACAACATATAACCTCAGATTCCAGGCCAGGGCTCATTACAGAACAATGAAACAGCATCTTCTGTATAACACATGGATGGGTTTATTATCAAACATTAGCTTTAATTGCAAGATAAATACAGCAGGTATCTTCTATTTACCGTAACATCTTTCAGAAACATCTCACAAAATGCAGTATTGTAACAGATTATGCAGCAAAAGTAATTACTAACAACAGAACAGCTTATCCCATTCATTTGTATTTGTCTTGAACAGGTGATGACAACCTCATCAAAAAGTTTGACTAGAAAGAGCACTTAGTAAATGTAAGCTCAAGGAAGATTACAGACACCAACCTTTTCACTGATTCCCGACAAAAATCAAAAAGTCTGTTCAATATCGGAACTTTCTATAGATAAATTTTTTAAAATACATGCATGTTTCAAGTCAACAAAAGTAAAAAAAAAATCCAATCAATTTCAGAACTTTCCATACATATATTTTTAAATACAAATATGCTTTGAAATCGACAAAAATAAAAAGCCCAATCAGTATCAGAACTTTCTACACAAATGCCGCTTTAGAAAATTTAGGAAAAACTGTAATAGCCAATCATCCTTCTGGACTTGAGAGTTTTTTAGGAAAATTTTCTGAAACAATTATTACAGTTGAAAGAAGACGTCAAAATAATTCAATATCAATATTTATTGGTGAGTTATTTTTGATGATTTATCATCCTTCCCAATCAGGAAGGTGTTATATGCAGTAATTAATTTGTCAATGAATCCATATATCAAAGTAAGGATTTGTGACTTGGTTGAATAGGGAACAAGTTTATTAGTAGGCTGAAATTCAGTGAATACATTTCATTGTTTCAGAAAAATCTTGTAAACATTATAAATATCGTCTGGTACAGGGCACTTGATATTTCATTGGAGGTCAAATTCAAAGGTCACATAATTTTCCAGTGTGGGTGTAACAGTCCAAACTTGTTTATTTTCATTCTTTACCATCTTCATTGACTCCTCTGATACTGAAGGAGGAAGAAGTTTACTTTGTTTTCTCAACCTTGGGTAATGTAAATACAATGTCAGGTTTGGAATACCTTTGACTGGACTTGTTAGAAAAAAAATCACACCAACAAACCTCTTGCCATTTGATCAACAAATTCAGCAAAACTGGTTGAACTTTCTTGGATGCCATAAATGAAAGAAGTGTGATTGGTCCAATTAAAGTGAAATTAATTGAAAATGAAAATTTACTTTATACTTAAATATCTATTGGGAAGTCAATTAAATGGCAGTCAAAGTAACAGATGTAGATCTAATTTCAATTTCAATCACTTAATAATACTGCTAAAAGGATTAATCTCAAGTCTGACTGAAATTAAAATGTTAAACATATGATTCACCCATTAAATACTCACGCCTGATTACATCATCAGAGAAACAAAAAAATAAATGCTGGAAATTTACCTAGAAATACATAGCAAATGGCTCAGTGACAAACACTTATAGCTGGTGGTAAATCACAACCTTGAATCACAAACTCTAGCTGATAAGCCTGGCAGTGTATGCTTTACAAATCTAATAGTGACTTTTGAGGACAGTCAATTCACACCAACTCACGCCCACTAACAAAAACACTTGATCTCACTAACAATTCAAACACATCTCAAGTAATAGTTGCTGACATCACATAATGCTAAGCTCAGAGTTAAGCCTACTGATTCACTAGTAAACATACTTCTCCATTGGGAGAAAAAAATAGCTTAACATAGCATCTTCATTAAAAAGAAAACAATAATCATAGCTTCGTATACTAAACAACAGCACACTGTAATGCTATGAGGATAGTAAGAAAGACTTCAACAATTGGCCCTATAGTTACTTCAATGCTTTTCCATAAGAACAAATTATATGCTCTATATGCTTGGCAACGTAGTCCACAATGGTTGGCCGCTCTCGCGACCGGGGCATTTCATCACTGGAACTTTGTCGAGACTCACCACTAGAGTGTTCTTGACTGTCATTACGACAGTGACTAGAAGGGCCAGGCTCTGGTTCATCACTCTCCTTTATTGTCTCGTCCTTAGACTGAACCTCATTTTCCCCAGATTTCTCTTCTGGAACCTTGGTCTCCTCTGTTTCCAATGTAGTTTCTACACTAGTTTTTTTGTCAGTGTTGGATTGGCCTTCAACCTCTGACTTACTGTCCACACCGGGTTTGTCATCCTCTGCCGGGATCACAATCACCACATCAGAATCCTGGTCACTGTCTTCCTTAGTCGTGCTGCCCTCACAGCAGGACTCTGACATATCTTTCTCTGCTGAGTCCACTTGACTAGAATCTGACTTTGATTGGTCAGTACCCTCAGAGATGACATTTTGATTGGATGGTTTGCTCTCTACCTTATCATCACTTGGATCCTCTTTAGATGTAGCTGCTGTGGATTTCTCGGATTCAACTGCATTCTTAACCAATTCATCAGACACTTCACTGGATAATTTTTGTTTCTTTGCTGAGGTTTCACCTGAAAATGAAGAATTTTTTATTGTAACAAGAAAAGAGATATTTGATAGCTTTTAGCAGTAAGTACTAAAACTGTCACATTTACGTGTGGTCTTTCATTATCATCATTATGATCATAATATGATCATGAAAGTATATAAATTTTGAAGTGTTTGTTTATACAATTTTCTAACTCTGTTTTCTTACCTGATGCTTCTTCAGTTGTCTCCTCCTCCCCACTATCACCTGGTGAACCTGACCGCTTACGGGCCATAGGTCGCTGTGAGGTGTCAGCTGCACGTTGGTGCTGATGTTGACGACACACTTGGAGGATGTACTGTAGACTATCCACCAAGAGAGAGTTCAGCTGCTTTGGGGGCTGTACTGAGAATATCAGAAGCATGGTACGCAGGTCCTGGGAACAAAAGACCATTTTTTCACATGAATCACTTATTCCAATTGAATATTGTTACTTTTTGAATTTGTTTTTTTTTGTTTTTTTTTCCAGAAAAGTGTAATTTCTATAATCATCAAAAAGCACTAAAGCTTATCAATATATCTAATCGAATTATATTATCATTAGAGCATATACATTAACCCCTGTTAAAATGAAATTCACTTATGTTAACCTTCTTACAATAAAGTCAGGTGACATTGGTTACTTGATCTTCTTCATTGAATGTTATACGATAGAATGAAGAATAAAACATCCTCATGTCCCAGGGTATGGAATAAGAAGACTCTATAGGTTTTTTTAATGACATATAAACATAAATATCTGAATACCAACTTTAAATCATGTACTTTAAATTCTATGGTCAGAATCTGTTCCAAAACAATCCAAAAATATTTTAATTTCCATTTTGAAAATTTAAAAGAAAAAAAAAATTGGAAAATCTGCAAAATGGACAACCACAAATTTGTTTGGAAGTTAACCAAACAACTTTGCAAGGCTAAATTACCCATTACCTTCGGGGTTTCTAATGATGCAACATATCTGGAATCATGAAACTACTCTATGCAATTCATAGGATTTAGATAATGCCATACCTATCAATTGTACTTACCCCATTAATTCTATAGCAAATATTCAGGAAATCTCTCTCTGATCTGATATTCTCTGCAGCAGCTTTTTCAGCTGTCACTGATGCCACTAGACTGTCTAAAAGTGACCTCCCTTGATCGTTTAATACTTGTTGGAACACCTGAAACAAAGTACGAAAAATTCGAGGGTGAAAACGTTGAGAACATGGAATACATTAACAGCTTGGCCAGATAAGAACATCTTTCTAGGCTCAGTTTGTTTCTTGTTTTAACATTGCTGTTTTAACACAATTAAAAAAGGTTTAACAACAAACATAATATTTATGTTTCCTATAATGCAAACTCAGATTGTTTCTCAGCTCCCATACATTTGTAACACATCTGATGCAAGACCTTGAAAGCTTTTAACATATTTGACAAAAGCCTTTGAATGTGGTTAAAAGTATTGAATAAATACACTCAATAAAATTCCAAAGAATCAAAACATCAAAACCATTGACCTGTTCCTTAAACATTCATCATTCTCATTTGACCCCATGACATTCCCTCAAAGCAGGGCAGCAAAGTATTCCTATAATAGTGACCCTTTAGTCCATGCTCCAAAATGCAAACTTGTTCATATCATTTAACACTGGCATAATGAAGATGTGATTATAAATTAATGTTAATCAACAATCACTACTAGAGACACAAAAGAACATGCTACTTTTGCAGTCTAGAGAACTGTTGACAGAATAAATATACAAACCTTAGGAAAGAAATTGCACAGAAACTGGTAAATGTTGTGATTGCTGAGTGACAGTCGTTCATCCAGTAGCACTGAGTCTACATACTCAATAAATATGTTACTATTACACAGGATACTGATACAGTTTCTGTCCACCTGTAAACAAATCACCTACAGTTAATGTTGTTTAGAACTTACTTAAGTTATGGATATAGTAAATTCATAAGTAGCATTAGTAGTTCACATATCTAAGATTCAAAATACCATCTAGGTGGAACCTATGTAGTTATCTTTTTGTTATCACGTAAGTTTCCCAAATATTTTTTAAGTAAACTGAAAGTGTCAAAAATTTCATTTTCGTGTCTGTTTTAAAGTTTCTACATATGTAAAATATTGTTTTGCATATTCATAGTAATAGAATACTGGAGTGGTTTTTTGGCTTTTTTTTTTCTTTACTGATTATTTTGGAACCATGGAAAGTGAAATACACACCTCTGAATGATAAATCTCGTACCACAACTTGGCAAAGTATGGAGAGTGTAAAGGAACTCCTTCTATAGCAACCATTGCACCTGTAATTATACAAAATGTAGATTGTATAGCAGACATCCCTTAATCAACACAAGCAAGCCTTCATTAGGGATTAATTTACCTATGAAGTCAACATAAGCAAATGACAGATACTTTTCCAAATTGTCCCATTTAACTGGGAAATTTTACATGCTATTTATAGGGAATATTCAATTATTTATCATTTTTTATTGGTAGAAAATGTCGTGACATTTTAAGATGCATATAAATCACCGTTTCATTATGAATCGAAAGCCTAGAAAACCAGAAACAGATGTATTGGTCACCTACAGACAGGCTTTGAATATAAAAAACATAACTGTTTGAAACTTTCTTTCTGGCTACAAAACTCATACTTACTAAGATTGATAATTGCCTCATTGAGGCTCTGATGATTGACAGCAACACGACATAGAAGATCTACCAGGGCATGATAAGGAGAAAAGAAATCCAACAGTGCGTTGTCATATATATCATCCACTCCCTGAAACAGATAATCCTATTTCACTCAGGGTTGTTACAAGATTAATAAATTTTTGATGATTAGGCAGTCCAAGACAAAAGTAAATTAAATAGTGTACATCAATTGGTAACAAGAAAAATATGCACTACATACGTGATCTTTCTCAGCATATTTCACTCAAAATTTTGACAAATATTCAGGGAACAGTTCTAATACATGTAAATGTTCTTTTCTGAGTTAATTTTGAAGATGTTATTGTCATAAAATTTTACTTTTGTAGCTTCTATCTGGCTGGAGTGCAACATCATGTTGAACTGGGGTCGTGGTGGTCGGATATTGGACTTTGGACCTATCGGTTTCTGTCCTCTCCGAGGGAAATATGGACCCATTGTCACTGTGAATATAAAAGTATTTCAATACATAAAAGTATCCAAAAGTTCCCTACTAAAATCAGTCTACAACTTCGATATTATTTCAACTATGCAATACCAATTTATACAAGTTAAATTTTTTTCATCTGTAAAATTTAAACAGCTGGCATCTATCCTTTTTCGACAGAAGAGAATACATCAACTCACACAAATAAGAATTTTAACAATTCAAATTTTATCACTGAAGCTGATGGTTCATATAAGTTGTCTGTTGTAGATATTTACACTTTGGTTTTCCAAATCCCTTTAAGTAGAAACCAAATTTGTTTTTTGTGGTAAGGTGATATGTGGACACTTGTAGCAAAGGCTGCATTATTGTACATGGGATTTTCTTAAATCTGCTTAAGAAAGCAATGCCTTTTTCCAGGACAGGATAATTTAAGATTTAACAAAAACATCTGAACTAGCTTGCTAAATTTATTGAGAAACATACTTGGAAGATTACTCTCCTGGAAGGCCACATGTGCCTGGGTAAGAATTGGGACAACTGTATGGACACACTCGCTCTGGAATGTCAGGATCATCTCTCGCAATACCTCTGTCAACAAAAATATCATTCATGTCAAATGTGAGCAATTTCACATTACCACAAACTAGACTGGTGACTTGTAAAGATCAACCCTGTAATGTGAAAGTAGTGATCAACCCTGTGAAGTGAAAGTAGTGATCAACCCTGTGAAGTGAAAGTAGTGATCAACCCTGTGAAGTGAAAGTAGTGATCAACCCTGTGAAGTGAAAGTAGTGATCAACCCTGTGAAGTGAAAGAAGTGATCAACCCTGTGAAGTGAAAGTAGTGATCAACCCTGTGAAGTGAAAGAAGTGATCAACCCTGTAAAGTGAAAGTAGTGATCAACCTTGTAATGTGAAAGTAGTGATCAACCTTGTAAAGTGAAAGTAGTGATCAACCTTGTAAAGTGAAAGTAGTGATCAACCTTGTAAAGTGAAAGTAGTGATCAACCTTGTAAAGTGAAAGTAGTGATCAACCCTGTAAAGTGAAAGTAGTGATCAACCTTGTAAAGTGAAAGTAGTGATCAACCTTGTAAAGTGAAAGTAGTGATCAACCCTGTAAAGTGAAAGTAGTGATCAACCTTGTAAAGTGAAAGTAGCGATCAACCTTGTAAAGTGAAAGTAGTAAATCTGGATCAGGTGTATAATACACTCCTATATGGTGATCATATCTAATAAATTATATCACTAAAAAGGACACTTTAAATTCTGAACAATCTGCCCAAAATGTATAATTCACTAATCTAAACTAAGTTAGACTGTCAGGAAATTTTTGATGAAATTCAAAATGACACTGAACAGTTACATTTTTTCCAATCGTCGTAAATCAACAACTGTCAAGAAGCTTTATTTATACAGTATCGTTTCCAATCTTTCCTATCCTTCTGATCTTGAATACAGAACAGCTCCTACCTATTGAGATATGGCGTATCTCTGGTGGTGTATAGGAGTTTAGAAGTGTGAGTAATTTCTTCACAAACTCCATCCTGTCTTTCCAACTCTGTAGTACTGTGTTCACATCAGCAGCTGTAGAACCTAAAATAAAAGATATATGCATCATAATTCTCTTTCATCATGTCCCTCCCATTTTGGTGGTGGGGTTGTGGCAGGCATTTAGTTTTCAACGAAACTTGGATTTGTTTAAAACATCAGTCTGAAAAGATTTACCTTGTGTGTCTGAAATTCAAACTTGATGTAGCTCTGCTAATATTCATTCATTACCCATGAAGACCCAAGATCCATTGATAAATAAGCTATACCACACATACAAATACATACAATTACAGTCTAATCTGGAGACTGTCTGCTGTGACAGTAAGCAGACAAGCAATAAAGCAGTTACCTTTCTTTTCATGGAAGTGTCTTGCCACCTTGAGGACAGGTAGAAGAATGGAGAGAAGGTCAACAATATCACCAGTCACATGACATGCTGTTGCCTCATGGTACATCACATGTAGCGTGTTGAAAGCCTGTAAATAAGAAAATCAAACTAAAGAAAAGATCACTAAATGACAGCTGTGTTTTTGTACAAATATTTATTGAATAAATCTTTAAAATTCTGCCTTAATATGTCTATTTGATAAACAAATTTTTTACCATAATTCAGAAGAAAGTACCATATTTATATTTCATATTAAGTTTTCTATTTCAATCTGCACAAGTTAACTACGTAGGTATGGACAATTTTTATAGTTATATATGTATACATAGATGCAACCTTACATTCTTTATCCCCATATGTTTCATGGTAAACCAACGTCAATATATGGTAACTTGTAGATTATATCATGTAACATGTGAGTTTACCTCTGTGATCATTTGGAGACCCTGTTGGTATATCAGCAACAGTCTATCGTCAGTTGTGTCTATCAAAACCTTCAATGCACTATAAAGTAAACAATACAATATTTGAATTTGTTGTTATACTCATCAATAACATTTTGTTACTTCTCACAAATGTGAGTGTATGTCACGTGGTACACGAAAAAACAGTTTTCTTGAATGTATTGGTCTTTAAATTACCAATTATGTGTACAATACAAAATCTTTAAATAACGTTATTTTGATACCTGAAGTTTCTTTATAACCCCATCTTTCATGAGACAAATTTTGGCAGTACAACATTTATACATGTGTACCACCAAAACTGATATGATTTCTTTGTAAAGCATAGATTATTTTTCATATGTGCTTAGCTCGTCATCATGAAAGTATCGCTCACCTGATGAGTGTCTGCCACATAGAGCGTGCGTCTAGAAAGTTGAGGAACATTTGCATCATGTTGCGTTTAAAGAGATTGACGGAGCGGATTTCATCTTCAGAGCTGTCTTGGTATTTTGTTGCCATCATCTTCATGATCTTAAACAGTTCCTCAACAGCCTGTAATATAACCAAACATACTATTCTTTAGTGATTTAACAAAATTAAGACAGGGAAAGATTTACACACACATGATTAATGAATGTTGGATCCTGGATAGCTTTCTCCTCCTGGAGATTGTTCATCACTATGTTTTCGTTCACAACTAGCTTTTTGTGGATCAGTTGGGAATTAATCTTCAAAGAAAACACTGATATTCAACATTGTCAAATTGAACAAAGTATTACTGGTTAAGAGACTTTAGTAGATTTTCTGTAATGATATCCATGCGAGGAGTAATTATGAGACTGTACTTATACTTATCCTAGCCTGGTTACTGACCAGTGTGTATTGGGCAGGGTATGGTGATATGTTTTTGAAGGCCCACTGGATGTTCTGGTGTTGGGCTAGAGTTCGAGTGAAGGAGCGTGATTGTTGACAACACATCCTCAGCAGGCCATAGTAGGATGGCAACATGATCCTGTTAAACATGACAACCTCCTGATCTTCATGGTCCGCTCTGTGGGCCAAACCGCAAATAAATCATAAATTCCTACTATTACAACACAATCAATTTTAGTCAACAAGTAAAAAACTGGTCAATCTCAGAATGTAGATTCATCAGTTATAAACTCTAAAATCAAGCACAAATTGGTTTATCTCTATGGTTTATTTTTACTGGTCATATCTCACATCACGTAACAAGGAAAACCAAATAAAATTTTTCATAGATATTAATCAAAATGACAGAATCTACACAGAAACTCAGATATTTAGTACAAATGAACTACTATTACTTACAGGATGTAGTTGTAGGCTATCTGCTTACACACATGGGGGTTGGTGACAATGAGTTTGATGTTCTCGGGACAATCTTGACAAACTTGATACCAGAAGTACAGCAGTGCCTGCGGAAGAGCAAATTTTATATATGGATACATTGTAACTACTTAAAAAGCAAGAACTAAATCTGTTTGTAAAATACCAATTTCTTCAGGTTAGATGCTTCATGCGAAATGCCTGAACTCTTACCTGTTTGTTGTGATGCATGGAAATCTGTGGCTCACAGAGCCGAGGTTGAAACAGCTGCCATAGGTCACCGAAGTAACTGGAGAACTAAAACAGGAAACATCATTTAACAGCCTTCAAGATTGTCACACAATCAATTTTATAACTGATCTATCAACTGTTTGAAACAGCAGGATGCTGACACAAATGATAGGAATATTTATGTTGCTATTTAAGTACTTTTTCTGCTTATTGCTTTGAACAATGGGACCAGAGTTGTTCCAATAAGAAATCAGAATGGACCTACTGATCTTGTTTTGCTTTCAGACAACCATGCTTTTGGAGTATGTTTTCAGAATTGCAGGTCTGTCCAAATTCTGTGCCTGAACTGTTATATTGTAGTGGCAATGAAAAGGTTTGATAGCATAACTTTTTACTAATAGTTGATTCCAACTTTATATTTTGCTTAAATCATTCCCAACAGAAAAAAAAGTATACACATAGTAGGCTGAGAATTTTCATTCATCTATCTTCAAACTTTACAGCAAATTATATCTACCATGAGTTTCTCCTCTCTAGTGATGAGACAGTAGGTCAGTACAGTGAAGTAACTCAGCAGTTTGGTTGTGCCGTGGCTCTGAGATTCCGCGTACACTTTGGCACGTTGTAGGAGATTTAACAAATGGGTATAGATCTGAAAAAATCAACAACATTGTGATCTATCCAATTATGGAAATGTTAAGCCTACATCTATGAAATAATAAGCTTGAAATAACATGTAATTAACAATTTCTGTACTTTCTGTAACCAAACATCAACAAATTATTGGAATTCATTATTTGTGATTTGAACATTGTGATCATTGTGATACATGTAGTTAACCATACACTCATTATACATAACAGTTTAACACTAGTGTGGGAAATAGGTTGTGTGATTGATCAATTTTCTACAATAATCAATGATCGGGACATCAACAGCCATATCTCACCTGATGTAATACAATTATTCCCTCCGTTGATATCTAAAACACAAACAGAATGGAACGATCAATGAGATAAACACAAAATAATATAACCACATATTACTTCCATGAATCTAAACTTAATCTTTATACTTGTGACTTTGGGAATGAAAACCAACATTATCATTGTACAATACGTGGAGTACACAAAATCAACATTTGAAAATCTGTCAATATCTGCATGTTTTTAAAGTGAAACTTTGTCTTACTGATATTTCCTTTTGTGGACTGAGGATGCGACGTGTGGCTACAAATGTTTGGCGAAAGTGATTGCTTGGCACTAAGGATACAAGAAGACATGCAGTAGCTGCAAGGAAAAAAACAAAAACATTTCAATCAAACAAATTATTTCTATTGATGTGTGATCTATCAATGTTAACTGCAATGTTAGGTTCTTTTTGCAAATGAATTACATGATTGTAAAATTTTCTGTTGATCCAAATTATCAAATGATGGGATTTTTTTACACTGGATGTAAAATTATTCATTATTATGCATAAATATGACTGGAGACAAGAGAATATTAAAATTGACCAGAATTACAATGTGATATTGTATAGCAGCTTGAACAAAGAGCACCATTATATTATCTGATTTCTTTGTTCTCAAGTACCAATGATTACAAATGTTGAAATACAACTGGTTAGAACCTAACTGTATGTTTACACCCTGTTCACATTCCCAAACACCACTCACCATTTCTGACTCTAACACTGGTTTGTACCCAGCTCACATTCCCAACACTACTCACCATTTCTGACTCTAACACTGGTTTGTACCCAGCTCACATTCCCAACACTACTCACTATTTCTGACTCTAACACTGGTTTGTACCCAGCTCACATTCCCAACACTACTCACCATTTCTGACTCTAACACTGGTTTGTACCCAGCTCACATTCCCTACACTACTCACCATTTCTGACTCTAACACTGGTTTGTACCCAGCTCACATTCCCAACACCACTCACTATTTCTGACTCTTAACACTGGTTTGTACCCATCTCACATTCCCAACACCACTCACCATTTCTGACTCTAACATTGGTTTGTACCCAGCTCACATTCCTAACACTACTCACTATTTCTGACTCTTAACACTGGTTTGTACCCAGCTCACATTCCCAACACCACTCACCATTTCTGACTCTAACATTGGTTTGTACCCAGCTCACATTCCCAACACTACTCACCATTTCTGACTCTAACACTGGTTTGTACCCAGCTCACATTCCCAACACTACTCACTATTTCTGACTCTTAACACTGGTTTGTACCCAGCTCACATTCCCAACACCACTCACCATTTCTGACTCAAACATTGGTTTGTACCCAGCTCACATTCCCTACACCACTCACTATTTCTGACTCTAACACTGGTTTGTACCCAGCTCACATTCCCTACACCACTCACCATTTCTGACTCTAACATTGGTTTGTACCCAGCTCACATTCCCTACACCACTCACTATTTCTGACTCTAACACTGGTTTGTACCCAGCTCACATTCCCTACACCACACACCATTTCTGATTCTAACACTGGTTTGTACCCAGCTTATATTCCCAACACCACACACCATTTCTGACTCTAACACTGGTTTGTACCAAGCTCACATTCCCAACACCACTCACTATTTCTGACTCTAACAATGATTTATACCCATCTCACATTCTCTACACCACTCACCATTTCTGACTCTAACATTGTTGTTGGCTATTAAATAAGGTTCCACCCAACTCTCCATCTGGTTAAGGAGCCAGTGACTAGCCAGTTTGTTTCTGGTTACTTGGGTCGACATCCACTCTAGACATGGCTGTGGACAGCTCTTGGTTAACTGTAATGAAGATCAGAAGCTCAGAAAAGGATGACATCTCTAACACAATGATTAAGGATATAGACTAATTGAGAAACACATCTATAGAATTTAACAAGAAATCTGTGAAATGTTCATGTTTGAACAAGTGTTAATTTGGCTATTGATCTCATGCTATAGTGAGCTATAAAGTACTATTGAATGATCATAATAAACATGTACCATTGATTTGTAGGAATATGAGAAAGCTATAAAGCAATGGATTGTGTAGTTCCATTACTTATCATTTAGTAATAATATCTGTGGAGCTTCCTGAAGAAAGATTCAGTCATTTACTGCTAATGTAAGGGCAAACAAGTGACTTCTACATACACACATATATACATCATTTAGGATTACTAGAATTTACAATGAAAACATATCTTTACTGACCTCCCAGAATCTCTGTAGGACATACTGTGTAAAGGGAGGTAATCCTGGAGGGCCTCCCCCAAATTCCACAAGCATTGACATCAATTTGAAGAAGGGTTGCGAGTGCTGCAAAAGATGTACATAGATCTCATGAAACTTTTCATATTTTCTAATATAAGTTCACGTTTCTGGTCATGAATTTAATGTTATTCTTAAAACATGAAAAGTTTTAGACATATTTCAAAATTATTATTCTTACAAGCATATTCTCATAATGTGTGAGAGATTATAATGATTCAAATCTTTTTGTCAAATAGGTACCACAAAAAATAGTGTGAAACTGAAGTTTGAAATAGTCCACTTACCTCAATACTAAGTTTCTTTATAGCACTAAATACCATGGTAACAATCTGAAAACAACAGCAGGAACTTCCTTTGAACACAACTTTCAGTCTGAATTTCAACTAAAGCATAACATCATTGCTTCTGCTATTTTTAAAACATTTTTCACGTTTTAGTGTCTTGGTACCAAGGGGCATCTCTCTCCATAATATACAGTGTGAGACCAGACATCAGGGCTAGTCCCATAGCATGAATGCATTAATCTCTTACTGTCTTACAAATGTTTACATTTCTGACATGATTTTTCTTTCAGTTACATCCCCAATTTTATTAGGACATTGTGATAAGTCTGGAACCAGAGAAACCCCATATCAATAATAAATATATATGGAGCAAGATACATACCGCTACAGCTAGCTGCTCATTCCAGCGACAAAGACTGAAGATCAAGTTACAGGTCTGTCGTACATTGATATTGTCCCTGATCTGGTTGAACATGAATGGGAATCCCTGAAAAAACAGAGAAAAAAATTGACAATTTTTCTCACAGATACCCAAGTGTTTGCAACCCTTTTTATTTCTGTAAGTTCTTACTGTAGCAACTGCTACTTTTTGTTGTAGTACTGTTCTGAATTGTACCCAAGGTCTATTCTCCGACAGATAGATAAATGTGCAACAGAATTGTATAATTAATTGTGTACAAGATTTTTTCCCTGCACATCAGAACTGTAAATACGGCAAGGTGGTAGTTACTCACTTTTCCTCCAATGACAGAGTTATAGTCTTTATCAGAAATGTGAAGCTGGTTGTCCTCACTGCGGGATTTCTCCACCAGTAAAGCTATCAGTGTGATCATCTTTTCCAGTGACATTGGCTTATAATTATCATCAGTGATAGTGATCACCTCATCCTCCTCGTCATCTGATGGGATCTCCACCTGAATACCAATAAAAGGTGTTTAAAATACACACATACAGGTAACAAACATCAGTGATAGTGATCACCTCATCCTCCTCGTCATCTGATGGGATCTCCACCTGAATACCAATAAAAGGTGTTTAAAATACACACATACAGATACCAAACACGCTAAATATTAAAAAAGTAAAATGAAAATAAAATGAAAAAAATTTTTTTTTTATGTAGAACAGAAGTTCATTGCAGTTCTTACATAGTTCTCTTGGGCCTTCTGTCCCATGTAGAAGCCAATCATGGTGGAGATGGCATTACTGTTGATGAGGAAAAAACATTCTTCATCTCCCATCTTTGCAAACTCCAACAGGAAGGCAAAATACTCTGTCAGGTACTTGCTGTGGGGACGCACACCATGTTCAATCTAATGAAAAGGGATGAATGTCATATTAGATCACAAACTATGCATCATATCTCTGACAGGTCCAAGATCAATCTGAAATACATTTATAGTTAACTAGTTATATGAACAAATTTAACCCCGAAATGCACCAAGAACATCTGTATATATGGTACTACAAAGTTGACAGCTCCGAAGTTATCAGATGAAGATTAAACAGAATAAGGAACAGTAAGATTTACTGAAACAGGATTTAATCACATCAAGCACCAGTACAACATTTGAATATGATCCACCATTATCAATCTTCCATATCACGTCCTACACTTACAATTGTTAACATCTTCTTAATGAACCTTGTTACACAGGATTTTGTACCTAGCTCAGACACATCTATCTCACCGTCATCACTGAAGTAGAGAATCACAAATTAAGGCAATGTAAGAGTTACACATCCACACATACAATTAAAGTTTGTAATTATCAAATACTAAAAGTAATGAGACAATTTATGAAAGTTTGATATTTTTTCTTGAAATGTGCAAAATTTAGGCAAGGAAATGTTTTTCACACTTGTTTATGTTAATATTATGCTTATTTCTGATATTACTTTCAAGTTAAAATGTATTCAAATGTTGCATTAAACCAATACTCACCCTTCAATAAATGGCTGTAGGTATAAGTCCATGTGTGCTGACCGTAACTGCGATATTACATGGATCAACAGTCGCTGGAACATCTGGTCAAAACAACAATCACTTGACACATTTTAAAAACGTTTTTTCAATTATGTGTAACAAGTTTACAAGAAATTCCTTTTAAACAACAAAACTTTTCAAAACAATTTGGGTTTTCCTAGAAAAAACATGTTGGGTCGACTTATTACCAGACATAGTACCAGACTGATTTCCAGAAAAGTGAACTCTTCCTGTTCTTGTACTTAAGATGTCGGAGAAAGACAAGAGAGACAAACACCTACCTGTCGCACCATCTGGTTTGGACACTTGATAAGGATCTGTTGGGGCCACCAGTCACTCTCGGCCATGTGGTCAAGGAACCACTCACATGCTGAAGGACAGGTGTTAAACTGCTTCGTCAACAACTCAATCCACTGCAGCATGGTTGGCTGGCGACAATAAAAAGCTTTATTTAGTCAATATCAATAGGGTTAAAACCCACTTGGTGCTTAGACAGACACTAATATTGACCAATTGTAGTTAGGCGATCAATATTAATAGGGTTACAACTCACTTAGTAGTTAGGTACACACTAATGTTTACAGGTAAGAATTTATCTTTTTTTGGTTATCTAACCACAGCCACATTACAAACTTCATCTAGTAAATCTATTTTTTTCATGGGTCTCATATACATTAAAGAAAAAAGTTAACCTTTTCCTTGGCATGTATGAGGGTCTCCAAGACAAATGAAGTACTCAGCTGTGAGGCTCTAAGAGACACCTGAAGCTGTGGATCCTTAGACAGGGTTGTAGGGATGTAGCCACAGATCTGCCAGATAAACCTGTTAAATAACACAGTAAAGCAGTCACAAATAAGAACAGATAGAATAATACCAGGAATGTGAATTCAGTATTCAGTACATATTAGTACCAGTGTTATATCAGTATGCAATCAAAAATTGCAGTAAACCTTGAACTACAACTAGGCTAGCAAAAAATCTACCTGATCCAAGGTATCACTTGTATCGTCAACTCGTTTAAATTATACTTATTGTGAATAATTAAAATTCTCAATGTGGCACTCTGTATCAATAAAACCTATCCTGTAGGATAATAGTTATTTACCCTAATTTCATTCCATCATTCAAATTATAGCACTCACTAATTTGTGTATCCATGTTAAAGCAACTATCAAAGATATTTGATATCTTTAAACGACAGTTGAGAACTTCACTTACCCAAAATAGGTGTGTTCAAATATGTTCTTGTCCTGTAGGAACTGCATGTTGTCCTGCCAAATCCACTTTAAGAAAGGAAACAATCCAGCAAAATGTAGAATATTTGTGGCAAAAAATTGTGTGTGTCAAATCAATGTGTTAATTTATTTGATGCAAAAAATTGTGTGTATCAAATCAATATGTGTTAATTTTTTATCTGAAGGTTTTCTGTCATTTGAAATTTCAATAACATCTATTTGCAAATTTAAATCAGGAGTTTTTGTCTATCTTTTGTGCCCGACACATACCTCAGCCAGTTCCTTTGAAAGTTCAAAATTGAACTTTTGGACAGGTTCAACTTCTAGTAACTTTTTAGGTTCATCATTGTCTTTCTTTATCGGACATCTTTCATAGAACAGCATATAAGCACTATTAGTCTGAAAGAAAACCATTTCATCTTAAATTCAGGAAATATTGGTCATATCATCATGTACATTTGTTGCAGACTCTCACAGGATTTTTGAATTTACCTTGTGTTCATCAAAAGAAAAGTCCCTGTTTACATAAACTCATTCTTATTTAATTTCTTATTCAAATATATCATGCTATCCAGAACCTGATACACCTGGATTTCCAACAACTATTTTACAGCAACGTTTAAGATATTTAATCATTATTTACCTTTTCAAAGGAAAAGTCCATGAACTTGTCAGTCACTGAATCATATGTTTTACTCTGAAACGAAAAAAGCAATAACTTGAAATGACAGAAACTGAAAATCACAACCAAATAGCTATCTAGAATTTCTCATATAAAATCTTTAACAGCAATTGTAAGATTAATCAATCAATAATACTACAAGCCTACCGTCATCTCTCCCCCAAAGCACTCCGTAGCGATCTGACTTGGATCAAATGGTTTCACCTCTGCATCATTGAATAGGTACCTACAGAAAAGAAAATAACTCTTAAAATTTTTTAAAAGCAAACAGCAAATTTTTTTTCTAAATTCAATAGCTTAAAAGACATATTTTTTAATCAAACTGAAAACTTAATACAAAGTTTTCTTTTTAGATTTGTCACTGCAATGGCCTGAATCATAAACAAGAACACAAAAATTTGATAAATGTTGGTACACCAATAGATTGTTTAACTATCAAACACAATCACCATTTATCCTGGCCATTGTCTGTTGTGTGCATGCGGTCACGTATGAAGCTATAATAGTGGCCTCCATCAGCTGTCCCTGTGTGTACTGTCACACCTGTCAACTCGTAATCATAACCCTCATCTTCATCATCCTCCATCTCCAGCATCTGTAGTCGCTCATCTTCATCATCATCCACTGTTGGTATAATTAATACACTCTGAACCTTATAGTCATCTGTGTGGTTATTCCACGTTACAAATTGTTTTATGATAATTAATATCTTAGCACTTGAAATCAGTAATCAGGGGCTGATGTGTTGTGTTCCCCTCAACAATCAAACGATTAACCAATATCAAACTAGTGCAAAAAATCAAATCACAATTCATGAACCCAAAAGTGAACTAGTATACATCACGTCTTAAGGTTTCCTATAACAATGCAACAAAATAAGTGATACCTTTAAGTTTGTCTGGTCCCATGAGAGTTTTCTCCATGTACTGCGACATATCCAAACACAATGGAAATGAAAAGTGAGTGTTCACTTTCTCCTTCATCATCGTCACCATATTGAAAGTATACCGCATTGTGTTGAAACACAGTATCCTAGGTAACCTCTTGAAACAAGCCCTAATTGGTAAAACAGATAACAAATTTAATTCAAATTAACTTTTTTCAAATTTTAATAGCATTTCAACTGAAAATTATTTTATTATATAGCACATATAAACATTTTTTGTTTAATTGGAATCCAGAGATCTTATTATACAACATCTAGACATCTCATCCACAGCAAAACAATGTTATTGTTATGAAATGACATAACAGGACTACATTGTACTGTTACCTACCGTTTCTCTGCACGCACTTTCTTCTGGCATTTTGAGCAAGTGTACATATTGTCTCCCTCTAACATGTCCTTGACTGTCACTTCATCTAATGATTCCTGTTAATACATGGTCACTTAGTGTCATTGACAAAGCAAAATTAGAAGTTTTGAACAAAATCAAAATTTTATAAAAAAAAAAATCAGAAATCTTACGAAATCTGAAAATCTTTCCCCTTTTCAAACTTCAATCGTGTCAAGTTTTGTAATTAATTTGTTGATCTTTATGATAAAATTAGAAAATACTCACCTGAAATAATCCTTATAAAGTTTACTATAAAATCCTCTGTTAAAAATTATGAAGTAAGTTAAGAAATTCAGTATTGTGAAAAAAGTATTGGAAGCTATTCTTTTTCAAGTCATACTTACATAAAGGTTTTTCATATCTGTCACTTGACATCTGACTGTGTAGAATTCTTCCAGAGTCCTACTGACATGGGGACAGTCCTAGATATCCACAAAACATTATTCTATAGTACTGTATGAACATGATTTGCAAACCTTACCAATCTAGTTTTAAACATTGTCTACAATGTTTACATATATATAACTTGTTATCCTGAAACTAAGGCATTTCCTGAAGATAAATAGGGCTGTATATTGCCTGGTTATTTTGAATATATACCACAATATGGGGAGACCAATCACCATGGATATAATGCATTGCTTCATACAAGTAACCATCTTACATCTGGTGTTTTATTGACATGAAATTAAAATTCTATATGAAATTTGAAACTACATAATGATCACATGAACAAACCTGAAATATTCCACAAGAGCATCAAGTTATAAAGTCATAAACATTGATATGTTAAACATTTAGGAGTAATGGCAACTAATATGACATCATAAGTCTACATCTAGAGCAGTACTTACCAGAGACACCACGTTGTTAGTCAGAATACCACCAAACAGGCTCTTCACAAGCTTGTGCTGCATACACAAAAATATGTTTTTTTTAAGTTTCTCGCTAGTTTACATTAGCCAAATACATACATCTGATCTTACTGTGTCCTTGAGAATAGTATTCAACTCTATAAATTGTTTGTATATTTATAACTGATCACTGATTCATCCCTGATGATTTTGTTAGGAACCTCCTCCTAAATATTTTAAATTTAAACATGATTAGTAATGTCTTAGAATAACTCCATATCTAAAATCCTTCTCATTTCTGTTGACATATCTAACAGCCTACCATTCCTGGTGACATATCTAACAGCCTACCATTCCTGGTGACATATCTAACAGCCTACCATTCCTGGTGACATATCTAACAGCCTACCATTCCTGGTGACATATCTAACAGTCTACCATTCCTGGTGACATATCTAACAGCCTACCATTCCTGGTGACATATCTAACAGCCTACCATTCCAGGTGAGATATCTAACAGTCTACCATTCCTGGTGACATATCTAACAGTCCACCATTCCTGGTGACATATCTAACAGTCTACCATTCCTGGTGACATATCTAACAGTCTACCATTCCTGGTGACATATCTAACAGCCTACCATTCCAGGTGACATATCTAACAGCCTACCATTCCTGGTGACATATCTAACAGCCTACCATTTCTGGTGACATATCTAACAGCCTACCATTCCAGGTGACATATCTAATAGCCTACCATTCCTGGTGACATATCTAACAGCCTACCATTTCTGGTGACATATCTAACAGTCTACCATTCCTGGTGACATATCTAACAGCCTACCACTTCTGGTGACAAATCTAATAGCCTACCATTCCTGGTGACATATCTTACAGCCTACCATTTCTGGTGACATATCTAACAGCCTACCATTTCTGGTGACATATCTAACAGACTACCATTCCTGGTGACATATATAACAGTCTACCATTCCTGGTGACATATCTAACAGTCTACCATTCCTGGTGACATATCTAACAGCCTAACATTCCAGGTGACATATCTAACAGCCTACCATTTCTGGTGACATATCTAACAGCCTACCATTCCTGGTGACATATCTAACAACCTAACATTCCTGGTGACATATCTAACAGACTAACATTTCTGGTGACATATCTAACAGTCTACCATTCCTGGTGACATATCTAACAGTCTACCATTTCTGGTGACATATCTAACAGTCTACCATTCCTGGTGACATATCTAACAGCCTACCATTCCTGGTGACATATCTTAAAGTCTACTATTCCTGGTGACATATCTAACAGCCTACCATTCCTGGTGACATATCTAACAGCCTACCATTCCTGGTGACATATCTAATAGCCTACCATTCCTGGTGACATATCTAACAGCCTACCATTTCTGGTGACATATCTAACAGTCTACCATTCCTGGTGACATATCTAACAGCCTACCATTTCTGGTGACATATCTAACAGCCTACCATTTCTGGTGACATATCTAATAGCCTACCATTTCTGGTGACAAATCTAACAGTCTACCATTCCTGGTGACATATCTAATAGCCTACCATTTCTGGTGACATATCCTCCAATTTACTAATGAGGTCGGTGAAGAACTCCGTCATGTCCTTTTGTTCCCCTGTGTTGAGAGGCTGTTTGTCCATAGTGTATGTTTTACAGAAACTCCGTGGGTTGTATGCCTTTCTCTCACTCTCCTTTTGAACAAATAAAACACAAATACGTTCATCTTATTTCATCACAAAGGAATGGAGCCTTCAAGTAACTCCTGGCTCAAAGCCTATAGATAAAAAAGTGTTTATTAAGCATGCACACATTTGAACTTGTGTTCTGTTTATAAAACTAATTAGAGTTATTTTTGAAAGAGAACACTAACAAAGCAATGGCTTTGAAATCCATTCCTAATTAAGTGTAGAAATCTCTTTTTCTTAAATTAGCCAATATGTAGTAAGTTTACTTCATGAAGTAATAACTCCTTGTTTTTACCTGTAGGTATGCAAACATCTTCTTCAGTTCTGACATAGTACCTTCATACTTGTTATGTTTTGAACACTGAAATATAATAAAAAGTATCTATGTTTTAACATTCTTTACAAATGCTTCAGACCAAAGTTCTGTCACATTTAGAGCGATTTTCAAGGCCAGTATAAACCATGTGTTCAAGGTTTATTATTTAATATTCATATAACATTCAGAAGCTTCAGTGTTTAGAATAGGGAGGACATTTGGGTTAACTCTGACAATAACCACAGAAATGATGCATTGTTTTATTATTTGATAACACAAATGAATATGGAAGATCACTTTTACACTTCCCCTGTCTGGACCTAAAACACAGGATCTATGACATCCAATGGTCAAGTAAATGCCTGTACATGTCTTTTATTTACTTCTAATATAACCAAACAAAGAAATATCAAAACTGGTCAACAATCATATCATGACTAAGTTTCCAAAAAAAAATATTTCCAAGTTGTAAGGATAATAGCCAGATATTGTTGTCAATTTATCTAAAACATAATATACACACAACCTTAAGATTTGTTCAGATAGGATTCTGTGTACTTACTATGGCCTGAAGTACAGACTGTCGTGCCTGTGGTAACATATACAAGTGCTGCATACAGGTGGCCATGTAACAAGTAGCACCAAGGTTGGTCAGTCCTACATAACCACACTTGGACCTCCCATCTTCATGTGGCCAGTAGTCCCAGGGATAGGGGGTGTGGGCATCTGGAACAACAATCATTTAGCATTGATCTTATAAACCATGTTTGTATATCTATTGATTTGAATAATATGTGAAAAACACTAGTTTCTTCAAACCTACAGAAAACGATACCTATGCCAAAGAAATTTTTCAAACACAGAAACAACAGCAAATTTAAAATCTCTGAAATTCCACCCTCCATCTTTGTCCAAAACAAAATACACAACTTGAGTTTTCCAAATTAGTCATCCTAAAACTGATCTTGCTTACCTTTCGTGTGTTGTTTCATCATCAGTTTGTGAAGTATTCCAAAATTGTCAACACTGCCTTTAACAAACTCTACCAACAGATCATAAGCTGAAGAACGACTTGTCTGGCTCTTACACTTGGGCAGAAATCTCTTGCTAGGAGAAGGAAGAGCAAACAGCAACCAGAACACCTCTTCCAGGAAACTCTGTAAAGAAACAATTCATCATCAACATTCCCACAACAAGAAATTCCATACTGATTGAGTAAAACAATAAATGTTTGTTTAAGTGAGGTTACCTGTCCCTCTGGCGATGGTTTGTATGTAGGGTTGTGTTTGATGATAGCAGTCATCAAATTGAGAAGTCCTATGACTCCATCATCCTCCTCAAACCCCTGTCTGGTCTCCAGGTATTGGCGTTCCATTATATGATTTGACACATCCTTTGCCAGGTTGTTGATGTTGACAATCTCATCCTGAACAGTAACACAATAATTACAGAATTAATCATATATGTCATTTGTATGAAAAGTGTTTAATGTAATAATACCATTTTAAATAGCATATCTGCTGTACTGTGTCTATAATTCAGTGTACAGTAAAACAATACAGATCATGCTTCCTGCCAACATAATTATATATAGGTCACAGATCACTCTTATCTCTATTCTTGATTAACCCTTTTCAACTCTGAAAAAATTCATTGAACAAAGAGGGGCAGAATAAGACTTGAGTTATATCTGTGAAACAGAAATTATCCAGTATTCAGCATCTTATATTCAGTCACATTTTAGTAAACAGTACCTTATCAGACTTTGCATCCTCCTTTGAAATGCTGTCCACAAAACGACAAACAAGCCAGAAGTAGTCCCGACAGCCTGGCCCCTGGGGTTCCTTTTCCTTCAGCCCATCCAACTGTGGAAAAATACAATTCAAGTGCAAGTGTAAAATAAAGAATGACCCTTCAGATTTTGTTGCATTTATACATTTTTCTGGTAATGTATTAAAAAAAAATATATCATAGAGTCATAAGCAAATGAAGAGCATTTATGTAGGTCATACTCACATCAAAGTTGCGCTGAGGTTTGATAGTAAGGGCTTCGTTGAGGAAGCTGAGTAGACTAGACAACATTGGCATGAGAAGTGTGTAACCAGTTTTACTGTCTGCAGTGCGGCCAAGACACAACCTGTACAGACCCATGCATGCCTCGCGCCTCACGAATGGCTGTAAAAAATGATCATACCAGTGTCAAATAATATTGCAGCCATTTTGTTTATCATTTATGATCCAATCCACACTGAAATAAATTCATCAACCAAAACATCTGATAAGAAAAGGATGGAAAGATTACTGTATATTAAAGTGTATATTTACCTCGGGTGCATCCAGTGTAAGCCTACGGAGCCACGACACAAAGTTCTGAGCTGAACACAATGCGTGCTTGACTTCTTCACTGGAGTAGGCCCAGGACACCAGAAACAACCAGGAGTAGTGCACCACTGAAATAAATATAAACATATACTGGATGTGTTCCTCAGTAAACAGGAATCATCTTTTCTATATTCATTTGTATTCAGCTGCAATAGCAATCTTTAATATAAACATTTGCATACAAAACTAATGGCACTATTACATTAAGTACATCAGGTATGATACATACCTTCAGCCCTGCCCCACGTCCCGGTGTTGACCGGGTTGGTGTCACTAGGGAAGGCTGCATCATACAGAATCTGCATGAGGATCTTCAGGATAGACTCGATGTTCAGCATGGACAATGTGGACTGTAATGAAAGGTTTTATACATTCACAATATCAATCATCTCACAACTTCACTCCAGCAACTAAATGAGAATTCAACACTTAAGATTTTTAAAGAAGAAATATTTCCTGTTTTTATGTCCATGATCACAGTTATCCGTATTAAACTGTTAAATGAATATTAAACGTGAAAATCACACAATAGTTCAGTCTTTATCGCTCCATTTTTTCTTATCGTACCTGATTCAGTCTAGGTATAATGATTTTCTCGCTGCCACCTTTATGACGCTTCATCTTTTTCCTGGGACTTTCATAAGACTCAAACACATCATCATGACCAGCTTCTGCATCTGACAATTCCACAGAGAACTGGCTGATCAGTCTCAGCAGATAGGCCAGACATTCCTGGTTCCACTGAAACAAAACAAATAAGTTTTCACATGGTTATTTTTACAACTTAAGATTAGATACTTTTACCAACTAAGTACCCAGAAGTCTGTGATTACCCTATCAAAAACACTGAGGGTGTTTATGGTACATACAATAACAAACTTAAGGCAATGTATCTTAAATGCTTCACATATTCCACTTCTTATTTTTCAAGCTTTGTCATCTCTGTGACTCTACATATGATGTGAGATATTTAAAGCCATCCCCACAAGTAAGAGTAAGGTTACAGTTTCCTGTATTGTAACATAAAACAATAAAAAACTGTTTGTTACATACTTGACTCCATGCCTCTTCTTCTCTAGCTTGTAGAACACCTGACTTGAAAATGTTCAGCAAGTGTTTTAAACCTCCCTTTGTTATAAACTAAAAAGAAGAATAAAGAAAACATGAATTTTTGTCAGAAGTACAAGTTCTTTTGTGATTCTGAAAAAACTGATAACATATAGCTGGTAATTTTCAATGGACACAATTTTCGCGGTTGTCCTTTTAAAGCAATCAAATCCTAATTTTATAGAACTTCGGTTTCGCAATCTGGATGTAAAATGACATTTTATACAAACATGTTATTATTTCACAGATTAAATTTACTTGATCATGTTAATTTACCACAAAATAGTGAAAATATCACCGCCGCAAAAATGATCTGCTTTCTGCTATTATGTTGTCAGACAAGATGATGCATGTAACACAGATACACCTATGGTACCATTTCAACAAAACAGAACTAAATGCGACATAGCCAGGGAAACTAAGTTAAATGAAATATCTTAATATTAACATGATGTCTAACCAAAGTTATTGAATTGAAACTGAAAAACAAGCATTTCATCTCTGCTCAAATACAGAATTCATGTGATGAAGACTACCTTCTGGCTCCAGATCTCTTCGCTACTATCAGTGTCCATCTCAGAATCTGTGCTCATAGCTCTCGAGTCTCCAGCACCTGACCTCATCTATTGAATCAAATCAAACAAAAACTAGAAAACCAGTTTGAATTTCTTTAGTTTTCATTTATTACATATTTTAGTAATCCTAATGTAAACCACTGGATAAAATAATACTATTTACCTTTTTGATTCAATTATCAAAATGGTTTTTTTTTATTAAAAATAACAAAAAAGGGTTTTTAGCATAAATAACATGGTTCAACAGGTTTTAGATTAGCAAGGTACTGTTTTGTAAACCTACAGAGAACTTCCTGCGATGGCGTGGTGTACGAGAGAGAGCTTCTACAATCTGTAGCGAGTACATGAGTTTGTGAGGAGCATTGGGTGCCAGTAATGTGTCCCAGTGGTCTGCCTTCTCTGCACTCTGTCAACAATACATAAATAAACACTACATGACACTTGATGTCATTTAGTCAGAAGTGAGAAAAAGAATTGGCTTCTTTATACTAAAGGAAAGCGAAACTCAAGCTATAAGATAACAACTATTAACTCCTAACAATAAGCAAATACAGTAAAAGTTTGGATTGTTCTCAATCAAAATAAGTGGACTACAAATGTTAGTTGTAAAACACTTAAAACACTGCTTACTCTTAACTTAAATACAATGATATATATCAGATTTCATTAAATGAATTTCTCCCATGAATCCAAGATATAAGTTTGTGTGCTATTTGGAGAAGCCTAACAAGTACCCCTGAATATGTTACAATTTATTGTTAGTAACAGTGGATTTACCTCCTCCGAGACAATACTGTTAAAGCCCTCCAGCATACTTTGGTTGGTAGGCAGTAACATGAGAAGTTCCCACACTTTCCTTGATAACACCCGAGCCTTGGTCTGTAGGCCCCACCGTTCCTGACTCTCCTACAACACACCAACAATTAAATACTGCACTGTGATTTACTGCTTGAACTCTACACAGCACAAGCTGTGATTTATTGTAAATATACTGTAAAATCATCTAGTTTTGTGGGGCTTAATTTTCATGGTTTTTCAAAACAATTCTTTTTTGAGGACACTTGATTTTGTGTGTGTATCGCTCAATGAATCGACTGATATTTATTTCAACAGTTTGTGGACATATAATTCAAGGATTAACAGTACACACAAAATCAATGAAAATAAATCACCACAGAAAATTAATGATTTGACAATTATACAAGAATGAATAATTTGAGGTATTTTTATCCTTTTCTAATCCACACACTCAATGAGTTTTTCAGTTCTTCAATAGTATGTCTGATAATTACCATCTCTGTAGAGGTGAAGTCAAGCTTGCCAAGCCTCTCTAGTAGGGTAAAGAGCTTGCTGAAGTGTGGCTCCTGTATCATTAACATCACTGGCAGCTTGCTGTGGGAGGGTGCAGGTAAACATGATGATGGGATACTGCCGTCCATCTTACGCTGGGGTCTACTGGCCCCCACTGATACAAACACAAGCTGTAACACAGAAGAGTTGTGTTATATACAATAAATCCCTCAATCTCTATCTTTACTTTAAACATCTATTCTCATTTGATGCCTTCAAGAAACAGGAGGTTAAGTGATTTGGAGATTTAAATATTATATGCCAAGATTGATTCTGAAGTCATAGCTTTAACACAAAATGAATGGATAAACCACAATACCTGCATGTCTTTGAACTGCATGTCACCTAGGGACTTCTCATCCATGTCCACTGTGAGGTCTTGTCCAAGGGTGATCATGCGAATGGGACCGTCTCCGAGCATGGCACCAAGGATTGGTGACAACATAGTGCTGCTGTGGGCACCTTCTGCCTGATGTCGAGCTAGCTGTTGTTTGTGTAGCCCCTCCCACCAACGAGTCACCTCTGCACGCAACTCTGCCACCAGGTCTGTTGAGGACATCTCTAATTGGGTCTGTAAGAAGTTGTTTGAATACATGTAATAGGCAGTAATCTCAGATAGGTCGGGTAGATCTAATGACAATAAAACAGCTCTAAATAGTGTTGACTTTGGTGTCTATAAAATTTCTTTCAACATTAATTCATATTGGAATTAATTACAAAAAATTTCAATTTGTGCATTTGCATATTGGTAATAATGAAGCTCCCATAGCCATTTTAACAAAGTGGACATAAATATAAAATGACTTCAATTTTTTCTTTTTTTTTTAAATTCAAAAATTTACTTCCATATCATTGATTTAAAAGCTGAAATACATAACTAAAAAAACTAAATCTGACAAAAATTTCAGTGAAGACAAACAACATGAATGCCAAATTTCTCAGGCCAATGGTTAAGCATAAGCATTAACATTTTACTAGAGAATTCATTAACTGACCTTGTCTGTCATGCCTGCTGGCTGTAGAATCACTCTCATCATAGATGATTGTTTGTCGTGGATGGATCGCTGATGACTACGGATTCCCTTCCCGTCTATCTGCCAGTTACGCAAGTGGTAGGCATACCGTTTCCTGAACGCTTCCAAGTGGTTTTTCAATAGCACCAAACCTCTTTGAATGACTAGTAAATTGGTATCAGGATTCTGTGAATTGGAAAAAACATTAAGGTGAAATTTACATATCAAGTAAGAATATTTATAACATAATGTGGCATAGAAATCAAATTTGAGAGTTCAATTTGGAAACTTTTGAATTCCTACATAACAGATCCTTTATTTAGACAAGATCCCTTATTATCAGTCTAACGGACTTACCTGGTTGAGATCAGAAAGAGCCTTGACAAGATACCTTATGATCAGTCTAAAGGATTTACCTGGTCGAGATCTGACATTAGGATAACAGACCCTATCAGTTGTTGGATTTAACTGGTCGTGATATGACATCAGGATAACAGACCCTATCAGTTGTAGGATTTACCTGGTAGATAACAGACCCTATCAGTTGTAGGATTTACCTGGTAGATTTCAGACCCTATCAGTTATAGGATTTACCTGGTTGAGATCTGACAGAGCCTGAACAAGACTATCCATACATCGTTGTACAAATTCCTCCTCTTTCTCCAGCTGACCATTGCCGTAGTTGATGTAGTAACTGTTGAGGATCTGTATGGCTGTGATGCTGACATCTGTGTTTGTAGCCTTCAAGGCAATATTCCACAGCTGATCCATACCACAGACCTGAGACAAATTCACAATAAGGTACTGTATACAGTAATAGAATTCCTTATCTTATTGATGAGATTTTATAAATATATCTTGTCTGGAATGTTCAAAGTAAAACCTTCATGTCTACAACTTTGATTTTGGTATAATTTAAGACTGCTTAATTCCACTTTTCATTTGCACACAAACAAGTGCTTTAAGGGATAAAAAGTTGAAATAAACCTTACGACAGCATTTTCCATTATTTGTGAATAACATAGATGTACTTTTGACCCTCCTTTATATCAATTTAGAGCTATTCCAGTAATATATATATTTTTTGAAACAGGTACCACAGACAGACGGAATTTTATTAAACAGTATACTGAATTTTCACCAACTTTGCACTCTTCCTGTTGGAATGATGTTTTACTGAAATAGTTAAGATCACACAATTTGCTTTATTCATTCCACAAAAAACTCCAAATAAAAGCACAGAATTCCACTTGTAAGTGAATCAATTCTTGAATACATCAACCAGACTATAACATATCACTGGAATGAACTTTTACCTGATCCTCTGTCAGGGATTTATCCAATGATGCATTAGCAATCCTCGTCAGATGTGATAACTGTTGAAACAAGTTTAGGCCAATCATGCTCATGGATTCTGGCTTCAGTTGAGGCATCTGTGGAAATAGGTATACATCATGTTTTTATTCATCACTTCACTAATCTAAATTTAAAAATTTTAATTTACTAGGTATTTAAATTCTTAATGACAATTACAAAAGGTAAAATCAGATCCCACATTAACATTACATAATATACAATATCAAAGATCACAAACTTATAAGTCACATGATTTCCTCTGTTTTCCTTCATTGATTTTGTTATGTCTTGAATCTTCAAAGGGCATACCTTTTCCAGAAAGATGTGTTTGAATGTTTCCAGGCCCATGGCGTGGTGGTCTTTACTTTTAGCCTGATTGAGAAACCACTTAAGACACTCATCAGAACATTCAGTGTCCAAAGCTATACAGCGCCACAGTGTGTCAACTTGTTCCAAATTCAGTCCTAAGCAATAAAAACGTAAGTCTGATTGCAAGCTGAAATTTTCTTTAAAAATTATTTCATACTTCAATTGATATATTCACTGATAATAAATAATTTCACAAATTATAAACTGATCAATGTACATGTATATATAATACCTATGTTCCAGTTTTGATGAAAACCTATTTATTCAGAGTCTAACTCTAACCTCTTTTAGAATTTGGTCCATAGAAATTACAGCCCAAAAAATGTCAGAGGCAACTTCACTCCACCTACTCCCTTTTTTCCTTCCCTTTCCATTTACTTATCAACCTGACGAGAACTTCACTCTAAATCTTTACATACAAAATAATTATTGATGGAGAAATGGATATAAATACAAAATCAAATAAAAGAGAAAGATCTATTGGAAAACAAAGTGATTAGAGAAAGGAGAGAGCATAAAAAGTAAGCCATATTCAATCAAACACTTTCTCATTCATAAAGTCAACACCACTTTAATATTCATCAGAAAATCAGAATTAACTATTTGAAAACTTGACCATGTCCTCAGTGACCCAGTTCTAGTCCACTTGACCATGACTGAGCGTCCCTTTGGATCGTCACATTACAAACTGGAGGGTCAAACCACCAGAGAGTAATAACTGTGTGCGCAAGGATGGTTTCATCACAGGACATGGCCAAGAAATCAGATGATGGCTTCACAGACAGAAGCATCAGCACTTGATCCTTACCAGGCATTCTATTGTATGACTTAATATTTTTTTATAAGACAAAGAAATTCCTGCAATTTTCTATATGGATCCTCTTTTATGATTTTTCTTTGATGACAAAGATTTTTTGTTTTTACTAATAAGAAAGGACTCAAATGTTTTCAAAAAGTTACATATCTTTTAGACTCAAATCTCGCAATATCTATTTGTAGAAATCTGCAATTAAATTATATCCTTTTAGCCTGATCCAAGAATGTGCCCGACAATATGGCAACAAATTTGAAGTAAAAAAAATTATTTCATAAAAGTTTGATCACATGTAGATTTCTTCAGAATATTGAATCTGGTAGTAACTTCTTATCAAATTTTGCTTTCTTCATGGCAATAGGTACTGTCCTCAGTGACTCAACAATAGTCCACTTGACCACAGTCGAGTGTCCCTTAAGATCGTCACATTACAGACTGGAGGGGGACCACCAGATAGTAATACTTTGTGCGCAAGGATGGTTTCATCACAGGACAGATACAACCAAGTGATCACAGATCAAATGTGAAGAAATACTGTATCAGAACAGCATTTGGGAGTACATAATATCACATTTCTAAGCTAAAAGATTATTTTGAGTTTCAAATTTCAGATAATTTTGATAATGGAAACTGTACATATGTCAATACATAAAAGATAGATCAAGTAAACTTTTTTTCTAAATAATTATACAAAAGTTTGAAGTTCGACAAATTTTGAAATATCAAATAAATTACATATTTGATGTTTAAAGAATAACAGTGAATTAAAATCTATCATTTTAAAAACTTACTAAAACCATCGGGAGAACCCATAGCAGAGAAAACACAGGTGAGGAAGTCCAGTCGTACTTGTACCTGTTCTTTGTGACTGTACCTGTAAAAAGAGCAAACATTTAGTAATTAAGAATTACCACTATCACATTACACCAATGAAATGTTTAAGATACTCTTTTTGATATTCTGAGTAAACAGAGTCGGAACTCTATCTACTAACATCTAGATTATGTGACATTGTTATCAGTAAGGAGTAAAATCATCACTTTTATCAGAACAATAGCTGCATTAGCTAACTTACATTGCCGTGATAGTGGCATTGCCTGCCTGTATTGCCTCAGTGTAGTACACTAGATTGATAAAGAAATGACTCATCATGTGTAGCTCCTTTTCAGCCCACCTTCATTTGGAGAGAAAAAAGAAAACATTAATACATATTGAAACTGTCAAATATCTTGCTTTTATATTTCAATTCAATATGATGCAATATTGTTCCTTACTAACAGAACATTACTACCTATAGTACATGGTTTGTGGCTTTATAATGAAATAAGCAATCTGATGACCTCCAGCAGACATTTATTAGTATAACGTTCATTAATCTTTACACTCCTACCAATCACAACATCTTCTCAAGAGATTATGAGGGTCAAGGCCTTGAATATAGATTAAGATTTAACTGTAATTTCATTCTGGTTACTGAGGTATAAAAAGTCTAAAAGTTTGTGTCCTGATCTAAATAGACTCACATGGTGACATGGTGTGTGTCTGCCCCACTCCTGTAAGGTTGGAAGGAACTGAAGATCTTTTGTAGGAGTCGAAGGGATACCACTACTGATTTATTCTGAGACAGGTTTTCTATACAAGCTTCAATAAACTTCATCTTGATTTTTCTATCTGTAGAATAGCACACCAAAGTACATAGTGCTTTCTCTGCTTCCATGGCTAGTCCCTCTGGTAACATATGCTGAAAATTCAAACCAATCACACAATTGGAACTTTGCTGTAAGTACAATCCATGATAAACCTGATTTAACATTTACAAACTCAAAGTCAGTAGGTAAACAGTAAATCATTATAAAGAGTGTCTCCCTCATAGGAAGAATCCATACAAACCCAAATTATGTGGTTGAATTTCTTAAACATTAAATAGATCATGTGTTTGTTTCTATTCATTTAGAATAATCAAATAAGGTCTAAATGACAAAACACATCTTACTTCTGCTTATGGTCTACTGAAATAAGACATGTTTTAAACATATGGTTCCAATTTTGTAATGGAGAAGTTCACTTACAGCTGTTTCCTCCTGGACTAGATCCCACAGCAGTGTGTTTCCTTTACCACACACGTCATCAAATGGGAAGTCTGATGGGTGACAAGGGAACATTTGCTGAGGGCGATGGTGGATCACTACAACAAACAAACAAATACTTACAGACCAATAAGCACTGATTTATACATCTTACTTACAATTACTAATGATTAAAACTGATTAATATTAAAGTAAACTGAACAAAAGGAACTAAGGAAATAGTGTCCTCTAAACAAGGGGCCTAGCTGCCTTGATGGGTCACCTGAAATAAGCAATATTGAAGATAAAGGTTAAAGGATAGTTATCTGTTGTCATGAATCAGAAATTCTGACCCTTAATATATTAAGCCAGCGTCAATACATGCATACCATCAAAACTGTCATCCTGTACTGATAAATCTTATCAAGTAAATTTTAAAAAAAAATCCTCCCCAGGAAGTAAAGTGAGACTCAAAGCACCTTAATATACTTCCATCCTTAAAGAGCATTTAATTATAACATATCTGAGTGTTGAGAAGAAGATTTTTTAAATCTGTATCAATTTGACCCCTTTTGGCCCATCAGCTCATGGGGTTAGTCAGGATCAAAATGGGCATACCATCAGGCGATCAACCTCAATTATAATTCTAACCAAGTTTGAAATATTTCCAATGGAAATTAAACAAATTATGCTCAAAAATCTAGTTTTCCTTTATAAACTATAGTAAACTTTACCCCCCTCCCCACAGGTAAACGCGAAACCCTAGGGCCATGAAATTCATAATTTTCGTTAAGCACTGTAAGATGCTTCCATTCACGAAGAGTATATGATTCTAAAATATCTGGGTCTTGAGAAGAAGATTTTTGAAATTGAAGTCGCTTTGACCTCTTTTGGCCCTGCCCCTCAGACCCCTGGGGGATGGGGACTGTATAATTCACAACTTTGGTTCATCTTAAGCCAGGGTAGGTTTCTGCAAAATTTCGTTGAAATAGGGCCAGGGGTTTTTGAGAAGAAGTTGAATGTGTTAAATTGTATACAGATGCACAATACCAGATGAAGGGTATTAGAATAGGTCACCATAAGACTTTGTCTCAGGTGACCTAAAAAACCTACAGGTGTCTTGAGAGTTACTACTACTAACCATGTGGCATGTGTGTGTGGTACATGGAAGCAAGACTGGACAGGTGTTGCTGCATCTGATGTGGATTGAAAGAGCGGCTGGCATCAATCTGAGCTAGCTCCTCATCACTGATGAAGTCCTCACCCTCAAAGTCAGCCATGTTCTTCTCTGATTTGGTACTGATATGTGAACTATGACAGCTGCCCTCACCATCATCAGGACTCATGATGTTCTCTATGTACTCTCGACTGAAAGGCAACATCATTAAATATACAATACAGGGTTATTACATTGTAAATGAGTTTCGACCTCCATCTGTAGGAAATGATCTGTCCTAAAAATCTGCTTTACAACATCGCATATAAAACAATTTTAATATAAACACAGTTTCCAAAAGATGATATTTTGGATACAAGAGACTATTTTGACAAAGTTATTGTACTATATAATGAATAACAATAAATAATAAATTGAATGAGGATAGCAAGGAAGTAGCAGAAAAGAACATTGTAACAAAATTTGTGGTTTTGAAAAAATAAATGATCTGCTGATTAATGTCTCAAAGGTGTAAGCAGATTAATGTCAGTGCCATCAAAGTCTGGTTCTGGGTGAGGAGAAAAGTCAGACTGAAGTCTAGGCCACACAAACCTTTTCCACCACATCAGTAGTGAGTTTGGTGTCACCTCTTTCATCAAACCATAGAGACAAAAAGAGTTTGTATACCAACTTGATATTTATTCAGTTCAAGAAGAATTAACCAGGTTTGCCAATTCATTTGAGCAGCACTGGAACATACTCTGAACTACTACCAAATTAAACATGACATTACTGTATCCTAGAAATTCTCATAATAATCTTTTCCATTTCCAAACTTTTCTATTAACTTCCCAATTAGCTCTGTTTAAAGAAACTCAATGAGAGCAAAAGATTTACCCTTGTATGTGCCTCTGCCTCTGACGCTGCACTCCCACTTGCTGTATGAACGAGGAACAGTCAAATATCTCCGTCTCCTGGCCAGGGGTGAGACCTCCAGGGGAGTGGCCTTCCTCAGCCTGCTCCAGGCCACTGTCCTGACTACCACCATGCATAGCCACATCTGACTCAATGGACTCCTGTCAAACAGTAACAATTGTTTTCATTGTCTATACTCATTTTTTATTTCTTCTTTCATACAAAATGGTATGATTTCACAAAGTAAAATTCACAAAGACTTCATTCATAGTTCTTTAACACTAATATTTGCTGCCATATTGAGGCATTTCCAAATACTTTTCACTGGACTATTGATGACTACCTACCAGAGAGGTGTTGGCAAGGTCCTCTTGCTTGGTATGCTCCTGACTAGCATCCTTGTCTTCTCCCTTGTCTTCTTCACTAGCTTCTGGTTGATCTTCACTGGACTTGACCTTTCTCTGACTATGACCTTTGGGGCGTTCACCTCTCCGCCTCACCTTCTGTTGACTTTGCAGAGCTAGCTGATGTGCCTGGTGTAGTATCCTTTGCTGCTGTTGGTGCTTTCTTAGAATCCTCTGGGCCATCTGGTATGACATTTTTCCCTCATGGACCATTCTAGCTTCATCCTCAAAATCAGAACTTCCTTCGCTGTCCTGACATGCATGCTTCATGTGAACCAGCTTTGCTTCCTTCAGAAGTTCTTCATCTTCAGAGTCCTCAAGATATTCTGAGTCGTCCTCCTCCTCTTCTTCTTCCTCTTCCTCGGATGTGTCATGGTGGTGTGCATGGTGATGGTTGCAGTGGTACTTGGCTACAGCACGGCGGTGGGCTTGTAGTAATTGTTGACGATGCCTACTATCAGCCACTTCTCCCTCCTCCAACTCTTCATCCTCACTAGACTCGCTCCCATCAATCTCACTGTCACTTCCATCACTATCACGTCGTGGATGGCGAATTGGATGACGACGAACATGCCTGTGGTCATCAGACTCACCACTATGTTCAAGCTCACTGTCAGCGCTGTGACCATGTAAACCTTCAGAGTCCACATCTTCCATGTGTTTTTCATGCTGATTGTCCTTAACCTTCTGGCCATGATCTTTAGCCCTAGGCTGCTTTTTGGCAGGACTTCCTCTTTTCTGGGCTTGTAATTTTGCCTGAAAGTGTCCAGGGAGTAGAAGAGCGAGTCAATCAATTACTTTTATCATGCATGAATATCTTATGAAAAATAATTAACAAATCTGAAATAAAAAATCATCAACTTATCTTAACACTAGCCAGTAAACAATATTATCTTTACATCATTAAAAGAGTATGCTTACAATATTTCTACTGACCAACGGTTGCAGTTCTCACTTCAGCGTTAAAGTATAAATATTTTTTAATGACAAATACAATTTCTGGGCACACATGTATAACTTTCTAATGTGAGCAATATCACGATATGTATCTTACCTTATTACAACACTTTTCACTCTCTCCATCCTCAGACATCTGAATGCTTTCACTACTACTCATCTCATGTTTCCCAGCTTTCCCTACACCTGTCAACATAAACAAACTGAAAGTTTTGACTCTATTCAAGCATACAGTGCTTAAAACTAGAGCTTCCTTATTCATATGAGTCATAAGATAATTATTCTTTTCTTCCTTTTCGTATCAAACATATTGGCTTTAAATACATACTTTCACATCTTTCCTCCCACAAGGTTGATTCACTTGCATGGATAATTCTGCTGATGATATTATGACAAGATAAGATAACTGAAACACTATAAGCTGTATCTTTCAAAGTGTACCTTCATGCATTTCCTCGTCCTGCTGCAGAGCAGTATACTGGGCTTGTGCATGGGCATGGTGTTGTGCCACCGATGTCTGGGACGCCACACATGTGTTCCAAATACATTTGATTAGGGCAGAGGCAAGGTATAAAGTCTGAAAATGTCACAGCAATCATATTCAAACAATATATAATATCTACAGTTATCACACTGTTAACAGGAATTCATATAATCAACATTTCATTTTGGCTAAGCTACATAGGTCTTACTACTAACCTTAGTACTAACAAATCAGTGATACAGTCTTATTGTGATGAAACTCTTATCCATTTTGATTCAAATTAATGTTTTTGTTTATACATCAGTTTTCATGGTAAAAAGACAGACGTTAACTATTGTTAAGTACAACCTTCTTTAAAAACACTAAGTAGACAAACTACATATATATATATAAATATATATATAAAATTCAATTGATTAAAGTGCCTTACAGATTCTGTGTGTGAAGTGGGTTCCAGGGCCGACACAAGTCTGAGTAAATGCTGGACTGGATGTACATCTAGATTCTTAATCAGTGGAATCAGAATGTCATACACTTGTTTACTACAGTGCTTTAACTGAAATACACAATTAGATCAGCATATGGTACAGTTTTTCATTATTATGATGAAGCAATGATGAAAAATGTCTTATAGTTGACACTCTAAATAATTAAGTGCATGACACCACGTAATTTACAATGTTGGAAGTGGCTGAGAAAGTAACTTCCATATGCAGTTTGAAGACCTCCCTCTACAGGAATGGATAGAAAGAAGTCTATATACCCTACTAGATTATAAGCCCAAATTCAGTCAGTGTTTCTGTAACCTAACCTGACTAAAAGCCAAAACACAGTGTTTATATAGCCTGACTAACTAGAAGCCCAAATACAGTCAGTGTCTATATAACTTCCCTGATTAGAAGCCCAAATACAGTCTCTGCAACCTCCTTCACTAGAAACCCTAATACAGTCTGTCTATATGACCTCCATAATTAGAAGCCCAAATACAGTCAGACTCTATATACCCAACCAGACTAGAAGCCCAAACATAGATTTTATATATCATACCTGACTAGAAGCCAAAACATAGTCAGATTTTATATACCCTACCTGACTAGAAGCCCAGACACAGTCAATGTGTTCACTGGTGATCTTGCCTTCCATTGCTAATAAGTTCAAGATCAACTGGCTCTGTTTTATAAGCTGAAATATAAAAAGATTACTAAACCTTGGTGTGAATAGGCACATATGTTTTTAATTTGAAAATGTTCGACAGAAATTACAAAATGATGAATATTAACCAGAAACCGATAATTTGTATAAATCAAAATCATGCCATTCCAGTCAAATTTGTTTATCTTGTATACTATTACAGATATTTTGATAAATGTGTTACCTCTACATGTAGATTTGGTCCAAATATATGTTCTATGATCTTGTTATCCAATAGCCACTGAGACAAATGATGTCCAACTCTATCAAAAACAAAACAATGTCCTGTTACTGACACAAGTTAAATTATAAACGTGAAACAAAAATTCTGACAAAATCATTCACTATTTCTAGTACAGGTCAAAATTGCTTCTATCTGAATTCTACATATACAATCTGACATGTCATACCAAATTAACCACTATTATTCTGTTCAAAACAAATGATAGATTTCACATCTAAGTTGTTCATTTGTTTCTATGTCTAACTGTACTGAGAAAATTTTGATGGTGACATAAAGTGAAAGTTATATCAATTATTATCTGTCTGTATCCATTATCTTGTGATAAACACATCTCCTACTTTGAGTCAAGGTTGGGTCACCTGGACTTCTTACAGACTAGACAGGGTAAACATGCATGAATACAATCAGGTTTAAATTACAGCATCTCTCACTACATACCTGTCTGCATCCAACAGGGTCTCGTTATTACAACTCTCATTGTACAGGTTAATTTGATTCTAAAACAAAGATTGTTTACATTAGAAGATAGGAATTTTTCATGGGTTAATTCAATCAATAGTTGTATTTCCAGGGAGAAAGTGTTGCTGACCAAGACATTTAATGATCAGCAACTTTATGAAGTTTCAAATCATGCTCTTACGCTTTCTTTGTATCTTTGAAATATTTTAAGTGATGCATAAACATACAGGCTTGTCTGATTTCAACGGTCACCGACAACACTTAACTGGCCAATATGATATTGAAATCAAGCAGAACTTACATTGATCTGGGCTATCCCAGCCAACCTGATGGTAAGTGTAGAGCAGGTAAAGTATTTGAAGGCTAGGTCCAGCCCTTCCTTGTCAAAGGTGAAGTGGGCCTCCAAAGGCTCTTTGACTGCTGCCCACATTAGGTCTGTCATGTTACGATTTCCTGCCATCCGCAAATCTTTGTCAGATAGCTTACACATATACCTACAAAGTTAATTTCACCTTATATAGTGCAATGTTTCAACCTTCAATAAATCATGTCCACATTTGTACAAGTTTAACTGTACCTAGGACTGAGGAACCTTTCCATTTAAGTAGCAACATGGTGAAAATCTTAAAAAAAAAAGAGGCAATGCTCATTTATTTCCATTAGGTAAAATCAGCTGATCTAATAGTGGGTATAAAATTTAGCAAATCGACACTATTGAATGAAATCACCATTTCAACCATAGGAAAATACATTCAAGCCATCAGCAAACATGATAATGAAAATTTGAACCCAAAATCTTTGATGTAATTGACAATTAACTTTCTAAAATTGAGACCCTATCTGAATCAATATTCTAATTTTATATAGGGTTCAGTGAATGTATGTAATATGTATGTATATCCAGGAAAGAGAATTATTTTTGTACAATTTCACAGTGCAAACAGCAAACGTACAAGCAAATCAACTGGAAAAATAATTACCTAATTACAGCCGTTCTAAGGGGTATTATATATTGCATCACAGTTGGAATATTCATCCATAAGCGTAACTGCAAAGAACAAAAAAAAATTGCATTTAAATTAAACACAAGGAACTAAATTGAAATCGTTAATAATATCAAATGAGATACGCAAGTGAAAGATTATTATTTCTCAACAGATCTGTTTTCCCAACTTTTGTTCCAGAACATAACACTATGTTTAATATAACTTACATTTGCGATAAGGGTGATGAGTATATGAGCAAATGTAAAAGGCAGTGTGTCTGGAGTTCCCTTCTCAAAACACTGACGCAGAGCACCGATCCCATTACTATCACAGAAATAGCACACATTCTGAAGCAGGAACAAAGGAACCTCAGGATCCTGCAATGACAAACACAAATCCTTCTGTGAAATTTCATGTAAGCCAACATATACCTCACTTCTACACCAGCGACAGGACATTTAGAATATCTCTTCAGTCTAGAATTCAAAACAATTTTTCTGCAAACAGCATATCAAAATTTCAATTTCAAAATATACACATGCAATATACATTTCAATAAACATATCTAGTTAAACCAGAAAAAGCTGTGGTGTCAACCTCAAATTTCCATACTGATTACAGGAAAGACAATATTCATACCAAGAGTTGGTGACCATAGTTAGTGTTACAGGTGAAACAATTCCATTCAGTCATTTCTTGTATAGATTTTCATGCTGTTGGTGCATATTAATGGTCATGCTGGCAAATTATTGGAAATGTTCATGCCGAGTAAAATATAAGACAATCCTAAAGAATCAGATATTTTCTCTAACAACATGGCACAGGCAATTGGACCTATTCTAAATGGACAGCATTGTACCAAATACAGATTAAATGTCGATGTTATTGTTGTAAAAATGCTGGTAATGAAATAATTAATCTGATATAGTCTTCATGAGACCATTTTACTAAAACAGTAATTCATTTGCTGCAGAAGTTGTTCAATTCATGAATTCCATCTTTTGTAAGTTGATATATTGAAATATTTCAAATTCCCATTATTTATATAGCAATTACTCCAAAATTTCTAAGTACCTAAAACAATTCAGATTTTTAAGTTAAATTAGTTTCAATTCACATATATTGTAAATTGAAAATGTCACACATTCAAAATGAAAAGAGTTTTGTACTAATTTCGTATAAGTACCTTCACATTACTTCCATTAAATAAATGTTACTTAATTTCCACACCATACAAAAAGAAAAGGAAATAATTGAATACTTAAAAAAGACATCTATTCAAATATGTAACATATTATTCCTGGTATATATTACAATATAAAGAATACTTGCTGAGTGTCTTGAAATATAATTTGTATTTCAGCAGGGTTAGAAGAAAAACGAAAGTAGCTAGCCTCTGTTGAGCCATTATTGTCTTTCTGTCCCCAGCCAAAATACAGCTTATATTTTAAGACTTTCACCATGTATTCTCTTCATCCTGCAACACTGATGCTACACTGAATTTTGCCTGATGACTGACAACCAAAATAATTGCTCCTTGCAGAAAAAATAATTAAAAAAATCATCAGATATAACGGTGAATGTATGAATTTTCATAAATCAACTTGTTTATTACAACATGTAAATTTGCTTATTTCAACAACTATTTGTATCTCTAAACATAATATTTCAGTAAATTCATAGAGTAATTCTGTCCAATTACTGCACATGTTAAAGTACAGTTATTTTTCGTCACTGCCGAATACAGCAAAAATCAATGTGGCAGGTGTATTCTGATACTGGCAGTGCCAGTTACAGGATAAAATTTGATAATTTCCTACAGTCTTGTACTACATACATAAGTAGGTGTATCTGTATCTTCTGTAGCTAAATACCAATCATATTACAAAGGAAATGAGTAAAAGACTAACAATGTCAAAATTAATCTAATCAAAACAGAATGATTTTTACTGATCATACCCAAATAAATATGAAAGAAATATAAATTCACACTAAATAATTTGTTCTCATCAACTAGCTATCTATATGTTTTTGGAATACATGAATAACATAAGCTCTCTAGCATGTCTAACAATACTGAACATATGTCCATGTTGCTATTAAAATCTTTTAGCATGTCTAACAACACTGAACATATGTCCATGTTGCTATTAAAATTTCTCTAGCATGTCTAACAACACTGAACATATGTCCATGTTGATATTTAAATTTCTCTATCATGTCTAACAACACTGAACATATGCCCATGTTGCTATTAAAATTTCTCTAGCATGTCTAACAATACTGAACATATGTCCATGTTGCTATTAAAATCTTTTAGCATGTCTAACAACACTGAACATATGTCCATGTTGCTATTAAAATCTCTATCATGTCTAACAATACTGAACATATGTCCATGTTGCTATTAAAATCCCTCTAGCATGTCTAACAATACTGAACATATGTCCATGTTGCTATTAAAATCCCTCTAGCATGTCTAACAATACTGAACATATGTCCATGTTGCTATTAAAATCCCTCTATCATGTCTAACAATACTGAACATATGTCCATGATACTATTAAAATGTCTCTAGCATGTCTAACAATACTGAACATATGTCCATGTTGCTATTAAAATCCCTCTAGCATGTCTAACAATACTGAACATATGTCCATGTTGCTATTAAAATCCCTCTAGCATGTCTAACAATACTGAACATATGTCCATGTTGCTATTAAAATCCCTCTAGCATGTCTAACAATACTGAACATATGTCCATGTTGCTATTAAAATCCCTCTATCATGTCTAACAACACTGAACATATGTCCAGGTTGCTATTACTCTATCATAACTGAACATATGTCCATGATACTATTAAAATCCCTCTAGCATGTCTAACACATATGTCTGATTAAAATTTCATATGTCCATGTTGCTATTAAAATCCCTCTATCATGTCTAACAATACTGAACATATGTCCATGTTGCTATTAAAATCCCTCTAGCATGTCTAACAATACTGAACATATGTCCATGTTGCTATTAAAATGTCTCTAGCATGTCTAATAATACTGAACATATGTCAAGGTTGCTATTAAAATTTCTCTAGCATGTCTAACAATACTGAACATATGTCCATGATACTATTAAAATGTCTCTAGCATGTCTAATAATACTGAACATATGTCAAGGTTGCTATTAAAATTTCTCTAGCATGTCTAACAATACTGAACATATGTCCATGATACTATTAAAATGTCTCTAGCATGTCTAATAATACTGAACATATGTCAAGGTTGCTATTAAAATCTCTCTAGCATGTCTAACAATACTGAACATATGTCCATGTTGCTATTAAAATCTTTCTAGCATGCCTAACAATACTGAACATATGTCCATGTTGCTATTAAAATCCCTCTAGCATGTCTAACAATACTGAACATACGTCCAGGTTGCTATCAAAATCTCTCTAGCATGTCTAACAACAATGAACATATGTCCATGTTGCTATTAAAATCTCTCTAGTATGTCTAACAATACTGAATATATGTCCATGTTGCTATTAAAATCTTTCTAGCATGCCTAACAATACTGAACATATGTCCATGTTGCTATTAAAATCTTTCTAGCATGCCTAACAATACTGAACATATGTCCAGGTTGCTATATAAGTCATAAAACAATATATATATCTTATATATGTACAGGGTCTCTCCCATTTCCATCCACTATTACATCTACAAGCAGAATATCAGATATATAGATAATTAGTACCTGGTATAATTGATGCACTTACAAGTAATGATGAAAGAAACTGCTTATAACAACAAGAATTCCTCACTCAGATTAAATAATAATGCATAATTACAATTAATTCATCACAAAGGAAAGAAATACAATATTTTTGCTACAGTATTATGTATAAATCAGGTCATATACATTAAAATTTGTTTGGTTTTGACTGAGCACAATGATTTATAAAGGAATTCAGTGAACATTATAGAAGAAAAAGTTCAATTACAACACGAATCATTCTATAATTTCTCAAACATTAATTATCTGGATTTCACTTCACAATCATTCTCATTAAATATGCCTAAATTTAATAAACATTCTACTCAGGGGTTTGGGAATTTGGTAGCTTTCTTGATAAATCTTATGAAAATTTGAAAATCTGGTAATTCTTTCAAAACAGAACAGTCTCATTTTATAAAGTATCAAACTTTAATACAGGAATTGATTATGAATTGATTATACAAAAGTACTACATAAATGTGTCATTGAAATCTAATAACCTAATAAATGAGTCCTATATATATCATAAAGACAGTATCTGGTAGGCAAATTCAAATTCTAAATCAAACTTGAAATAAACCAATGTGAATGGAAGAGAGAAATTCTTTCTTTCTGAAAATATTAAAAATTCCTATTATAGTAATTGCAGACACTTCAGATGTTAAAATCTAAGATGGTAAGCGACAACCATATGGAATTTCCTATCCATGTCAACATTGACATTGAGTCTAATCTTTTAGGTATCAATATTCACATTTGTGAAAATCAGTTATTTCAAGAATAACGCTGTTGTACCAAATCTATGTTTATGAAAGCAGCACTAAAAGAATTTTTCTATATTTGTTTAAATAAATGTATTTTATGAACATCAGATCAGTTCCTGGTGAAGCAGCAAGCCCTGGTATCATAACTGCATAAGGGTTTCAAAAATCATAATGGAATATATAAAACCAGTGTTTATTGTCTGTATGCATTGGTTCCCTTTATACCTAAATGCAGATCAAATTAATTATAACACAGGCAAAACAGCTGCATTTAATCTAGAACAAAACTCAAGCTAAATATTGAAAAATGACACTTTTGAATGACAGTACACATGCAGTTATCATAATGAAATGTCAGAAAAAATTATCATTTAATGTAACAGCACCTATTTAAATTTCCTGGACATAACCATCGATTATTCAATCTAAGATGATGCATCTTTATTCCCAAACCAAAGATTCTAAAATATGTAGTATACATGACAGATATATGTAGAGTTTAGATACTACGTGTCATATTGAAGCATGCTACAAAAACAGTAATAACACATAAGTAATTTACTTACTGATATTTCACAGTAACTATTCAAAGCACTAATTTCTTGCTGTGAATGGTCCTGAAAAGTATAAGCAACAGAAACTAAAAGCATGCCCATTTAAGTTAACAAAAAAAAAAAAAAAAAAAAAATATTCATGTATATTGCTGCATAAAATGTTTCTTCAAGGATAAATCTTGAAAATTTAACCTTACCTCAGGTTAGTACAGTTACTCCAGTATGTGAACCGATACATTTTTTTCATATGAGTGATTTATCATGTCGGTGAAGGTACTATCATGTCACCCACTCTTACTGCTTTGTAGAACAGCATTTTATAAAAAAAAAAATATGGACTTGCCTCTCGAGACGGATGAACAACATGTTTGTAAGCTATGTAGGATGGAAAGTTCATCAGGAATATTTTGGTAACAGAATGAAGCAATTTTTCTTTTTCTTCCATACTCCATTTCTCTGGATCTTCAGATTCATCATCTTCATCAGTGTCCATGCTTCTTTCTTCTTTTTCTGGTTTTCCTTCTTTCTCTGAATCTTTTTCTTCTTTCTCTTTTGAATCTGAACTTTTCTCTTCAGTCTGAGCAGCTTCTTTGTCTTTCTGTCTCTGCTGTTCTTGCTGGAAATCTTCTGGCAATGTCTGGATCACTCGAATAGCTACACTCAATATCAACTGCACCATGTTGTTGAGCTTTTCGAAATTTTTCGAATTTTTGAAGCAACACATACATTGTCTACAATAAAATAAAAGCAAGGACAGCATTTCATAACAATTCCATAAACTAATAGATCATGCATTCCTTTTTTGTCTTTCTGTAACAACATTTTATGAAAAAGTCAGAATGAGCTAAAAGGTCTTGAAATATAAAGATAAAATAGCATTGATCTGTAGATATAGTATTATATAATTATGTCAGTTTATTTTATCGTGTTTTTTATTGAAGTTTGTTTCTCAGCATGTATGACCAGTAAACACAGCCTATATATGTAATAAATTTATCATATTTACAAGATGGAAACAACCTTTCAAATTTCCTTTTATTTGTAACTGGATACTTAAAATATCTACACAAACCTTTGAGGCCAAACACAAACAAAATTTACAAAGGACATAATGTCCTTCTTGCTCATCTGGAAGCCACCAACTTGACATCTTTCTTCGTCTACAACAGAGAAATATAAAATATAATGGAAATAAATGTATAAGTCTGTATCTTTGTATTCGGACAAGAATTTAGCTATCTCAATCATGTTTCTCTCCTGATAACCGGTGTATTTTAGCACTGCACACAATTGTCTGATCAAGACCAATGGCTTTATAACCTTTTACAGTAGAACATGCCCTACCCAGGACAGAACCATCCACTTTGTTTTATTAATCAATCTTAGAATAATGACAAAGCATTCTTTTCAACATCCTCATTCTATGCAAATTGGAAAATGTGCGAGTTGTGGAAACTACAATCTGCTGTAAAATCTAACAGACTGGTATTGGTGAATACCGGTCAGGCCGATGTTGTTTGTTTCGTCCGTCCTTCTACTAAACATTAATTCGTACGACTAAAATAAAACGGTTAGAGCAGACAAAGATGATACATAGTTAGATGTAATCAGTTGTTCGTGGTATGCTTTTCAAAGTGATGCTCATCATGAAAGTAAATTCGGACCGCGGATCTTTCAGGTCTTCGATCATACTCACAGCTTTCCAACATAAAGAGCAAATCTGAACATATATCACACATCTTGGTAATGGTTTGGCACGTTTGCACTGTTGATAAAATCGCTGTCACGACATTTCTAGTTAACTAATGTCGTCTGGGTTTACAAATTCATTTCACACTCTTTGCTTTGGTAAAACATCCCGCCATATTGTTTTGCATTCATTCATTCGGATAGTTTCGGTAATTTCCGGATTTATAATGACTCTGAAATATTATTTTCAATTTTTCCATTGATAATATATAATATCTTTCAAAGTTGAATTGTTCAAATTATTTTTACAACACATTTCTGCAAATACATATGATTTCTATTTCATATTGGTGTTACCCAGCGAAGAAAAATACCTTGCTAAAGGGACATAACTCGTGTAAAAATGGTTTTATGCAAATAATTGGTTTCTGTACCTATTAATTTTTCAGAATTTTACATTGATTTAGGTCCAGCTGTCAATTAACATATATTTAGAGAAGGAGGTTATATAATCTTCATCGATCAAGTCGTTTCACGTATTAATAAGTGAAACAATCTAGACAAAACAGACTCATTTCAAAGTGAATTCGTCTAATTCCTGTTACTAAGTCGTTAATCGGTACTGCTTAATTGAGGAATGTGATAAAATAAAATAACTTTAATCTAACATCTTAAATTTCTAGATCTACTCAAAGAGAAACGTACCATGGTTGGAAAAAATAAATAAAACAATATTCATGTACCTTATCAGCCCGATGCCTTCCGACCAGTATGGGGCCCGAGGCTCCACCTCTTTAAGTTAAGTTTCGTTATATACAATATGTTATAAGAGACATGGGATACCTAGAATCTATATCTTATTGTTAAGATAATAGATTTAGGATAATACATGTTTAAGAAATTATAAGGTAATTTAAATATTTTAACATAGTAATAATTAAGACTCGACCTTTGTAAAACTGTTATGTGATTCGTACGGGACCAACAATTTCGATACCATAGAAACGTAATTCACTGCATTGAAACAGCACGTGGCTACTAAAAAAATATTGTCTTTTGGATCCCCTGTGATTTGGATAAGATAGGTAATTATGCATGAGATATCACTGAGAAATAACGAAAGAATGACTTATGATGCACACAGAACTGTACCAACTACGTCACCGATAACACTTGTAAATTTCCATGTTTTCCCTTTATCAAAACATTCAATGTTTAAAACAACTACTTACATGCAAGACAGGGAAAATCACTGTTGTGTACCGGTGACCTCAACGATGTTATCTGGACTAACTAATCGCTGGTGTATTATGATTCAACACATATGTGGGTTATACACATCACCAAAGCTATTTCAATAATAAAACTTTTTTATTTCACTCCTTGACGATACATTCTAAATTTATCATCAGATTTAAAGTTGACAGAAGTTTATATCAAACATGATAGTCGTTATCTTAACGTTTAAACTCTTTTTTCAGTTTCCACGTTACTAAAACATGCTTATTGTATTTATTATCTTATTGGCGTACTGTATCACAAGACTATTTACCTAAGACTCTTGTAGAAATCACTAACTCTGTACAGATCTTCCATACTTGTCACTTACTCTCCACAGATCTTCCATACTTGTCACTTACTCTGTACAGATCTTCCATACTTGTCACTTACTCTCCACAGATCTTCCATACTTGTCACTTACTCTCCACAGATCTTCCATACTTGTCACTAACTCTGTACAGATCTTCCATACTTGTCACTTACTCTGTACAGATCTTCCATACTTGTCACTTACTCTGTACAGATCTTCCATACTTGTCACTTACTCTGTACAGATCTTCCATACTTGTCACTTACTCTGTACAGATCTTCCAGACTTGTCACTTACTCTGTACAGATCTTCCACTTGTCAATTACTCTGTACAGACCTTCCAGACTTGTCACTTACTCTGTACAGATCTTCCATACTTGTCACTTACTCTGTACAGATCTTCCATACTTGTCACTTACTCTCCACAGATCTTCCATACTTGTCACTTACTCTGTACAGACCTTCCATACTTTTCACTTACTCTGTACAGATCTTCCGTACTTGTCAATTACTCTGTACAGACCTTCCATACTTGTCACTTACTCTGTACAGACCTTCCATACTTGTCACTTACTCTCCACAGATCTGCCATACTTGTCATTCTGTTTTAGAGTACAACTCGACCTTCTAGACTTGTCACTAACATTGTTCTTGTCACTCGCCCTTTACCTTATGCTATGGCCTCTCCATCCCATACCTTTTCCACTTCAGCGTACATAGTTTCACTGGCCCTTTCTCTGAAAATGAGTGTGATCTGATAACCGCATGAGATAAGAAAACCTATTGACATTATTCGATGCTCACCATCATCTTGATATTAAGAAAATAATAATACATGCCAAATAAATTACCCTTCTGTCAGGCTACCATTTACCTGCTGTATTGCTAATCTTACTGTTGTCTAGTCCAAGAACGTCAATAATGAGATAATGTTAGATAAGAAACAAAATAGAAATTCTAATTCAAGATCGAGCAAACGAGGACAAAACATGAAGACCCTAGGAAAAACGCTTAAAAGGGAAATAAAAACCAGATGTATCGAAAGGGGTTGCGTTGCGGGCTTAATCAACGACACCATAGACTACTTTAGGGAGTTAATTTTTATATTGTATGCCCGTGAAAGGAGGGTCGAATATTAATACCAGCACTAGAGTAGCAATAGCATTGTGTAGATACCTCAGGTAATCAGACACACTCGTCGCCTTTAACTTGATGTCCATAGTTAAAACGTATTAATACTGTATTTCTTCTTCAATCATCCTGTATTAAAGTGTATGGTTAAGCCCACTTTATTTTGATTTTTGCCTCGACTTCGCTCAACCGTGTCCAAGTCCTCTGTTAATCGAGAAACCGAAGCACACCTATGATCGGGCAAGTGGGCTTATTACTGAACATATCGACAATATGCAGTTCACTCTCATTGCCATCACTTCATTGTTAATACTTTTTTCTTCCTACTCATTTTCTATTTTTTCTCGCTCGCTGAAAGGCCGAATGGCCTTTGAAGTGGACGTAAAATGTGCAGTGCAGACTGGACCATGGGCGGGCGGACCTTTTTCCTTATTCTTATCTCAAAAAATAGACTTGGTCTCTGCAAACCAGAAACTTGCTTTATCCTTCAATCCCATACTTTAACCGTTCGTGGTTAAAATTTAGAAATTCCACAAATAAGTTAACAACATCATGTCTTTGACATTTGTAAAGGAACTTTTTTTATTTTTAGTTAACAAATATTAACAACAGGAGTCGACGAACTCAAGAGTAAAAAAATGCTTTTTTTTTTCACAACACAAATAACGACATAAAATGAACGTCTGTATAGTTGTTAGTTACCTTGAATGCAATGCTATCGTATTTTGTGACCGAGATATTGGTCAGAACTACTTCATCACATTAACAGACACAGTACTTAAAACAAAGCGTAGGACTTTCTTGTACACAAAAAATGTAGGATATCGTGAGATGACGTATTTTTGTACAAACAATGTAGCAGCATCATTGCGACACGCCAACTAGACAGACCGCTGTTTCATTGTTACAACAAATATAGAAATACATATATTTTAAAAAAAATCATGAATTAAATCGAAAACACTTATGATTATAACATATTTATATAAAACCCTGAAAAATATTATACACATACAGACCCATAGCACCTAAATTGACTTAATGCACGATACTTTACGGCTGATTGCGGTCAAATCTGATCTCCCATAGTTACCTCCATTCGTATAGCAATAAGGTTGACAGCCAATGGGGGCCGAGACTGGTTTACAGAAACAGGGCTACTTAAGGTTTTATGTTGCTTGCTGTAACTATTCAATGTGAATGTGGTGCCACATCTGGAGACAAAATATGTTGATAGGTACACGTGAGAAAACGCTACAACAATCCTCTTTTATCGAAAAATATTAAGTAGCGTATATATAGTAACAGTATAGTGGATTGGAATAAATGCTAGATTAATTACAATATATACTGTAGATAAACTATACGTATATGACAAGTTAAAGTATACTAAGATAAATTACAGCGTAAGATAAATCAAATATATGTAATACCGTTCAAACTATACTTCAGTTGAATTACAATATATGTTAAAATAAATCAAATATATGTAATACCGTTTTAAGTGTACTTAAGCTGAATTATAGTATATATAATATAAATCAAATATCAGTTTGAAGTATACTTAAGTTGAATTATAGTATATGTAAGATAGATATGTGTAATACTTTTTAAAGTATACTATTACTGTTGTGTAAGTTAATTTACAGTACACACAAGATCAATCACTGTAGACTTTATATAGATTGCAATATATGAAAGATAGATTACAGTATATCCAGGGTAAATACAGTATTCCAAGGGTAAACCACAGTATACATCCGATAAATTATAGTATACTGTATAATAAATGTTGACAAATCAAATTATACTTAAGGTAATTACAGTACATGCAAGCTAACTTACAATGTACATAAGTAAAATTACATTGTATTCGAGATAGATCACAATTTACGTTAGCAAATAACAGTGTAATAAGAATACCGTTTACTAGTGCACCAGTAAAAAAGATAAGATAAATCAGGACTATGGACAACTTACATGTACACAAGACAATATACATGGTATGATAAACTGGATTAAATCATATACAAGGAAAGATCGGTAGAATTTTATAGAAAAAAATTGGACTGCTTTGACTGTTAACACAACGTAAACCGTGTTTGTTGTCTCCATCTTTTCGGAAACGATAAGTTTTTTTAAACAAAAAAGGCAACATTTTATACGCATTCACACAAACAAACAAAGCTCTTGAATGAAAAGGATTATATTCTAACATTTTACAGGTATCAATTATCATGATCACATTAATGAAACATCAATCTTAAGAACTAAATGCTTGCCAGGACTTCTCAAACTGCTAAATTGCAGTCGAATTTGGTTTGTTTTATATTCCATCTGAGCTTTCGTCAAACAAATCGAAAACCTTTACATGTTATCAAAACATGCATAATAAAAGCCACAGAGATAGAACAATGTCAATTTCCCATCATAGTTAGAATTTAAAGAAATTTTTGTTGAGAAACACCATCATGTCCACACAGTCCCGTGGTAACATGGCACGCTGGTTAAACCAGGCTTTTTGTTGAAGGTCTGAACTGACTGTTCTGTCGTACTGTTCGTTTGTGGCCGAGATACACATATATTTCTTAACTAACCTCGACAATATTGGGTACATTGCCTCTCGATTCTTCCACCACTGTAATGGCGGAGTGGTCGTTTGCTCTGTAGACATATAGCGATCTATTTCAGCCAGTACTGTCTCCTCGAGTGAAATTTTATTCTTTTTAGGTTCAGGTTTCACACAGACGACATCTGCTAGCCAGTCGTTGTCATCGTCCCCGACATCCTGTTCGATACGAGGTCGTTTTGCAGGTACCGATTCCTTGAGCGAAGAAGAGGAAGGACTTACCTCCAAGCCCGGTTCCTGTTTGATGTTGCATATTGTCAGATCAACGTGCTCTTCACCCTTGCTTTTCCGGTACAGCACAGTGGCTTCGTCGGCAAGCTCCGCTTTGCCTTGTTTGCGTTCGGTGGAATCAACAAAGTTCAAATCTTTATATCGAGGATCAAGGATAGAACTGACCAACAAGCATTCTCTAACATTAGAATCTTGATACAAGTTCGAGAGAAAATCTAGTATCCTCCTCTTCAACTGAGTACTGTAGTCCTGATCTTCGTCTTTCACAGCTAAAGTCAACTGAAGTTTGCGCAGTACCGGAAGTATCATGGAGGCAGTCGACGGACCCTGATCAGAAAGAAGTTTGGCAGCTGTTCTAAGTGGCCTTAAAACATTTTTGATTGTTTTTGTTTTTTCTACCGTTTCCAGATCGAGGGCATGTGATTTCGTGTCTGTGGTGAAATTGTCACTCTGTTTGATAGACTGTATTGCTTCGTTTTTCTTGCATATTTTCATCAACATGTCAAATGTGGTAGTCCACTTCCCGGTTATGTTGAGTTCGATATCATCCATTTCCGGTTGCATTTTTCTAAATTTCGTTTTGTCTTTTCCGTTCCGATTTAATGATTTGATAAAGTTTCGGCAGTTTTCAATGATACTTGGCACTCCTGTCGACGTTAAAACATCATTTGCTGCCATGCTGATGGCATTGCCAAGACAGGAAATATTCCGAATGCCAAGAATATCGGTCGCGGATTTTACCCTAGCATCACTATTGGTTACCATAATTGGTACAGCTGGGACTCTCCATTGCTGCAGCATAGTTTGTAGAGATGAGGACATCCGGTTCGAGTCCTCATCCATTTCCAATGTAAACAGTGTGAAGGAGTGGGGTTCCCAGTTACAATCGATCATGTGCACAACTAGTGTTACGAACTCGGTATCTGTAAGGTTCGATGTCCATATATCTGTCGATATGGTGACGTTTTCAGTACTTGTCAAAAGACCTTGAATGTTTTGCTTCGTTTCGCTGTAACAGTGTGGAATAAGTGATTCCGCGAAGTACTGACTGGGCGGCATATTGTAACCTTGATCGGCTACTCTCATCATATTCCGGAAGGCCGTGTTGTCTACCATACTTGGTGGAAGTAGGTTTGAGATCAGGTACTCGGTTAGTGAATTGTTGAGTGATTGGGCATGGTTGCTGTTCATCAACATAGTCTGTACCGTCGGGAACGTCCCCGGCGGAGACCCGCACGTGACTGTCGCAGTGATGGTCTCTGAGTTCGGGGGACTCCGAGAAGACCCTATACTCCCGTCACGATTACTTGTAAAGTTAGCTTCGTCGATAGACATAACAACGTCATCGTACTTGATGGTCCTACTGTACTGTTTTGGCCGATGTTTGGCGAGATGCGTATGAAGATTGGTTGTATTGCCACAGTATTTAACGAGAGCACAGCAAATTTTACACACAGCACTCGATTTGTCTAAACACCCAGTATCGGGTGATTTGTAAAATCCAAAGTCTTTCCAAACAGTGCTTTTAGACTTGCCAGGAAAATCGTATATCTGTGTATACTCTTGCATATACTCATATCGTTCCGCTTCCATCGTTGTGTTGGTGTTCATATTGTACTACATATATAAGGTCTTACTCACGCCATGTGTATAGCTCCTGTTGTTACTGTCGATTTATCGCGATCACAAACAAAATGTCTGCACAGCCTACGCGGCGTATAATATCGATTGCTATATTTAGCCACACATATGTTCACAAGCTGATTAAAAAGTGGAACACAGCTACACACAAGTTACTATGGCGAAACACGGTTAAGCGAGCCGAGTTGGCGATACTATACAAAAGCGTCGTAAATATCAGAGCGACCTAGACTGGACGTTGATAACGATAGTGCGCGGGCACTATCACGCTCGCGGCAAGTGAATCGCTTCATTGAAGCTAGCAGACGATCGATCACAGTGTACCTGACATTTCCGATAAATCGTATCTATCAATCGGCTGTACGTGTGGTAGTGCTGCCAGCAGTACTCAACTCATTTCCCAATCCATATATATGTATCTGTGGTAAAATGGCGATGTTGAACAACAATAACAATCGCCACACACTGTATACATTCATATCGCCGTCGGCTATATTGTTCTGCACTGATATATGTGAATGTAGAAGTGTTAAGATCCGTGTCCGAAGTGGTTTTTTTTACATATCGTCATTTGACCTGACTTGACCTTTGTCCCTTGCACTGTCAAAGGTAAAATTTACAATGAGTATGTATCATGTAGAATGATCCGGATTAGTGGTAATAATTTATAGTGTAACGTTACAGTCATGAGTTAGCTACTTAATTCCAGGACATTCGTCCTTATGTTGTGTAATACAATGAATATATAACAAGAGTTAGTTCAACATTCAGTGAAATAATAACCATACTCTTTAATGACTGGTTTGGAAGTATGGATTCTGCTGTAACTTCAAAAACAAATATCTAATGATATTCTAATAGCAGAGACGTTACTTGTGTATATCAAACAAGGTATAGATTATTAAGTATCTGTGGTATCTAAATCCGAAATCATATACCAGTGTCTATGGTTATATTCCGAAGACTCACTAAAGCGAACTTCTGATAAGTTCAGCAAACTGTTGCTTCCGCTGATATTGCTGTTAAGTCCGAAGGTAGCATCATATTTCTGTTGAAATGTAGAACACTATTGTTATATTTTGAAAACATTTTTGATCAACCTACGAATCGTTTTTTAACCATAGAGCTTTAAGACTACACAGACAGTAGTGCTTTCATAATACAAGGCCTACATATCGCCTTTGGATAAACGACCCTTTTAAACAGCGGATAAGCATTGGTAATATTTCTGAACAGTGCAAGTTGTTGAGGATTAAAAAATATCCCACTGTAATCCTATAAAAAGCACATTAAGAGGACCTAACCCGAATTTCACTACATTGTATCTATGTCTTCTTAAAGGATTACCATTTCTGTTACTTCTTCAAAGTAAACTTATCACATTTTCCTAAATATCGTATCACTCTATTTTCTCAGAGAATTTTCATGTCATGATATATTTACTTGCCACTTCTCGTAAGCGATATCTCTTGAATGGTATACGTTTCTAATATAATATAATATGGAGTGTTAGTTTGTGATGCTTTGACTATGAACAAGAGTTATCGTTCTTCATGTGTACTTGACATGTGCAGCTGTTGGACGGCAGAATATGCCAGTGATTTTTGTAATTAGCGAGTTTTCTTCACCATTTTTTACTATAGACAGATGGGTTGTCTTGTATCCGACGTTTATGTCGTAACACTTTCAGAGTTTGGTGAATTTTAAGACGTCACAAGTTGATCTCTGAAATAACCTTGTTCTGACATAGTTTCATAACATAAAGAAGAAAAGTGCACGGCAATCGAACGAAGCTGGAATTTCTTTAAACATGTTGCAAATTTCTTTATCAAAATGCTCTTTAACGATTCATGCCAAAACACTGACTAACGTCACTGTTTCTTGACATTCCATTGTGATTGACGGGAATCCTTCACTGTCTGACAAGACGCTTTCACTCTGTTTTCAAGTTGAGACCAAATGAAACTTAAGTCGGAAATGGGCCTTCAACCGTCGGCCATTATATAATACCAAGATCATGTCCAGTCATCGGAACAAACATGAATCAGTTGATTTTCAAACACATTTTTAAATCTCATCGAGATAAAACCAATTTCTCTTGTGAGAAATTATGATACTCAGTCATTTTTGCTTGCGATACTGTTTCGTACTAAGATATTTCCCAGTTTACCAACAAAACAGACTGACAACCGTAGATCATTAGCTACATGTTTCTCTAAACATCAACTACGGAATCTTTCATTAAGAGTGATATCTATTTAGTATATATACCTAGTAGATTCCGAATTCGTCAATCGCTACATATCCCAATTAATGGTTTACCTAACGTATTCGATATATAGAAGAGTTTTTTTTATATGATTAATGTACCTTTTTATTTCAGTTTTTGTTAAGTTATCACCATTTAAGGAGATGTCGTTCCTGTATGCCAGTCAATGAATGGCTTGGATGCGATGATGCCAGATAATTACTGGATGGAAATCCTCAGTATTGTGTTGCGACAAATGATATATTACTGAATGAAAACCGATGGTTTTCAAGCGGTAACCCACCATTTTATGATAGTAAATAATTCCTTAGGGATGACCCGTTGTTGCTAGGTGAAAACTCGCCGTTGCTTGGTGACAACCTGTTAGTGCTGGGTGATGACCCACCGTTGCTGCTGGCTGCTAAGCTGAAAACCCATTATCAGTGAGTAGATTACTGAACATTATTGACCAATGACCTAATATCATTGGACGAAAATGTGTCATTTTAGGTCGATACATTTTTTTTTCTATTTTTCCTAATATTGATACCATTACGGTATGATAACCCATCATCGTGTGATATCCCATCATCGCTGGTCCACCTTTTGTTGTTAAAGGGTGGTCCATTACTCATGGTTGATCATCCATTTTTTGTTCAATGATCACCTGTTTTTGTTCAATGATAACCCGTTTTTACTAGAACTCGCTGCTGCTGAATGATGACCATTGTTGAATGAATCCTGAAATGATAGCCCGCTTTTCCTGGCGATAACCCATTATTGCTGAAATATAACCCTTTTTTGCTTTGTCTTCATTGTATAACCCATATTATCAGACAATAACACATCATTTTGATAAATACTATCCCTTTATTGTATAACGATGGCATATTCCTTTAAGTAGATATTCCCTAATAACCCACTGTTTAGATATACATATAATAATAAACTTTATATATTGCGCCACCCGACAACCCAATGTCTGGATATAATAATATAATTTATTTATTCCGCCACCTGACAACCCACTGTCTGGATATAACAATACAATTTATTTATTCCGCCACCCGACAACCCACTGTCTGGATATAATAATACAGTTGGTTTATTGTGCCACCCGACAACCCACTGTCTGGATATAACAATACAATTTATTTATTGTGCTACCCGACAACACTGTCTGGATATAATAATACTGTTTGTTTATTGTGCAACCCGACAACCCACTGTCTGGATATAATAATACAATTTATTTATTCCGCCACCCGACAACCCACTGTCTGGATATAATACCACTATTTATATATTGTTCCAGACGACAACACTGTCTGGATATAATAATACTATTTCTTAATTGCGCCACCTGACAACCCACTGTATGGATTTAATAAAACAATTTATCTATTGCACCACCCGAGAACCCACTGTCTGGATATAATAATACAATGTAGATATTGTGCCACCCGTCAACCCACTGTCTGGATATAATAATTCAGTTGGTTTATCGCGCCACCCAACAACCCACTGTCTGGATATAATAACACAATTTGTTTATTGTGCCACCCGACATCCCACTGTTTTGATATAATAATACAGTTGGTTTATTGTGCAACCCGACAACCCACTGTCTGGATATAATAATACAATTTATTTATTCCGCCACCCGACAACCCACTGTGTGAATGAAATTTCACTGAACTTTCGTGATATTTCAGGAATAAGTCACCGTAACACAGTGTTTTGAGTGAAACGCCATTGTTAGTTTATGATTCACTATAACAGTGTTTTAAGTTAAAAATCATTACATGTTCAATGATGAAACATTGTTATCGAGTGATTTCTCGTCATAATGTAGACGTTCACCAATTTGAATACGCACTAAGTGAACTTTTATAACCAGTTTGTAAATAATAGGCTTTGTTTTTGGTCCATTAGCTAAAATGATATTAACATGCTGGTATAAAGCATTACATCAGGAAAGATCTTAACTGGTCCTACTAGACGGGCCCTCTTCTGTGACCAACTATCCTAGAAATATACACGAGCATGCCATGGTAACCACATCAAAGAACTCGAAATATTTACAGTATTTTTATTGTCACGCAGTATATTTTAAACAATCAGCACGGTCAATCGCGGTATAATTTTACATGAATGTCAAGCGTCAGATACTGTGGAACATCTCGTGTAGGCAACTGTCATTGGCTTCGGGTCTTTTTGGCTTCTAAAGTGGAAAAGGCAATCCCGTACGGGAGACATCTCGACATTAGTACGTAATAAAAATCGACATCGTCGGGATGCATCCATTACTTCAGATGGTAACTAGATTTAATGGTTGGCGCTTTACGAGTTAATAGAAAGAAATAATTATATAAATAAGAAGTATACGGACGACATATCGGACAATAAATTTCACGCGCCTACCTATCTCGTGCTTCTTGTCCCCTTTCAAATAAACGATTGGATTTTTGATTATCACTCATGTACTCAACTATATTGGCATTCTGTCCGACTAAAGCGCTGTTTAGAAGCTTTCAGATGACACAGACTGACCAGCTTTAGCCTCTTTATGGGTCATTACCACATGGATTAGTTGTGTCGATGTGATTAGCTGTCCATCTTACCGCGACATCTCATCTGGCTTCGTCTGTTCAATAATCACTAGACCGGAAGTAAAGTCAAATGTCTGTCCACTGTCACACTGGTCCACAAAACGCTTGTTTTGGTGGTAATGCAAGTTGTCTTTGTGAAACTATTCTGAACTTTTTAAATCCGGAATACAACGAACAAAGAAAAAAAGTTATCTTAATAAAAAAAAAAAAAAAAATCAGTTTTCTATTT